TTCGTTGAAGATGAGAAGCGGGTGAATGGAATGTAGCGGAGAGGGAAAGCCTGCCAACTGAACTTAACAAGGTATGATCCATTATATACAGCCAGACACAAATTAGCTAGGGAAATATGTTGAATGAAGTGACATATAAATACTTTCAATTAAAAATGGGCAGGGTTGTGAGTGAATAGTTGACAAGGTTAGGGTCTCACTCTAAAAAAAACAAATTGATTGGTCTATGTGGAGGCTAGAATAACCTACCTGGGCGTGACAGTACTTAATTGACTAATTACGGCTGTTTTCCCACGTGTGGGAGCATTCTCCGTCAAACTCTAAAATGACAAATTTCTTTCAGTTATATTTAATTGCTATTCATCATTTTGATGTCAGATACAAATTGCCGACGCAGTCTGTTCCTTGAACGTCCTCTTGCCCATAAGTGTTATGCAGTAAAAAACACATATGGAATTCGTGCACTAGATTAGAAACATGTCTGTCTTTGAAATGACACTAAATTGTGTACGGAAACGTCGGTTTGATTTTCAAGGATACATGTCAGTAAAAGACGACAGAAATCAGAAACGTAAAGGAGGTGTAGCTCGATTCATCAGAAGTGCTATCCCATTTATCGTTATTGATAAATTATCCCATGAGAGTGGGACGTGTGAAATAATACGTTGTCGCTTTAAATACAAAGGACAAGATCTGCTGGTCGGTTTGGACTACCGCCGTTCAAGCTGTGGAGTGAATAGGGTCTTGCTAGACGGTTTCAATAATTGGTCACAACGTGATCGACGTCAAATCCTAAGAGACTTTGATGCACCTACGGTAGACTGGAAAAATCTGAGAACTAAATTGTCAGATAATTCCCTCGAACAGGAACTAGCTGATGCAGTTATCACATGTACCCTAGTGCGACATTTGGGAGAAGAGACTACGTACGACCCGGACTCTGAATTATCCTCACTAGTTCTTACATTGACTTATTATCAGGTGATGACACAAACTCCGACCACATGCCACGCTTAGGTAAAAGTGTTCATGAAGTTGCGATCTTTAACTTTCATTTGGTTGTCAAAATTGCGCACGCAACAGCCCAACCCAAATCTAACATCTGTAAAGCAAGTATTGAAGATAATATGCACTCAGAATCCACAGCAGATTTTTCAGTAGAGTAGGAGTCTACAATTGAAACAGCTTTGGATATATTTCGATATCTGTACATAAAACTAACTACACCCCACATTCGTTTAGACTATACTAAGGGGTTCGGCAAATTTCAAAACATGATTCAACATAAAATGTGACGGAAAGAGAACAATGAAAATTCCTCTGCAGCTTCTTTGTTGAACAGTATTGTCATTTATTTGTTCCTTCTCCCTGTTGTGTATTTAACCTTTGTTCCGATCTCGTTTAACCAAATCTTTTGTTCTTCAGTCCTCCTCGTTTGAGCCCTTATCATGTGATTTTGATTAAAAACTTATCTTTTGTTACCTAAGTTATAATTGCATGCTGCCGGACCATTGACAGTAAGGTCGTGGTTGACTAAGCTCAAGATCACGGCGTGGTTCAGTGTGATTGTTAACCTCTTGATCGTCTGCTTGGGAGGATTGCTGAAATCCCTCCGGACAGATATTTGATCTCATCTTTTTGGAAATCTTTTTATTGATTCTCAGGTATCAAACCACTTAGAATTAATTGTCTCTTTCATCATTTAGCGCGCTACTATGTGTTAGAGAAACTTCTGACTCTATAGCACAGGCTGTACTGTTTGGGGTATTTTGTATTTATGATGTAATTTGTTCTGTTTTCTAAATAAGAACCGCTTATATTGAGCACAGAGTTTGTGTTTTGATATAATATAATACGAGTATCTCAAAAACGCGTTGTGATTTATACAGAAAAACGTGGTCTGATCTAATCAAATAAATTTCGGGTTCGTCAGTCCGTTGTTCCAACCGAATATTGGCTGTTCGGTCGCTACATAGAGGTTCGCATTGATTTTTATAAGAGGATAAGAATGTGGATTTATGCTGCTGGGTGCCGATGAGACAAAATCCCAATATCGAGAAGCTCAATATATTTGTGCCCCGAAGCTCTGTAAGTCTGGAAGGTTTTTACCAAGAACACCTAGTTAAGGAATCTATAGGTGTTCGCATTCTTTTTGGTAAGAGGAGAAGAAGACGGAAGAGACTTAACTCACTGGGTACTGAGTGACGACAAACGTTTGTTGTTTCAGTTTCCGTTTCGAAAGGATAGAAGGATAGGTGGCCTGTTTCAGTCCTGGCACTGATGACTTTCCAGTTAACCCAACTTTCCTTTGAAAGAGTCGACATATGTAGTTTCATTTACGTGTTGGGGTAATGAATTCCGTTTGTTGATGATTCGATGGGAAAGTCGACATAAAACTGACAAGTAATTTGTTCTGGACCTATGAACATTTTCGGAATATCCTCGTAAATTCTCTGTTTTCGAATACAAGAAAAAGGAGGATATATCAGATGCAAATTTATCACTAAGTAATTTGGAATCGGTAATCAAGTCCTCTCTCGTTCTTCGACATGAAAATGGAGAAAGGTTCAGTTTAGTCAGTCGAACATTTAACGGGAGCTTCTCTATTCCGGGAATCAGCTTAGTTGCGGTTCTCTGAATCTTTCCAAAAGCTCACTGTCTTATTTTGTACAACGACTAGCTGCCTGAATGCAGGTCCCATGTATTGACCACAGGGTTCAAAATTTTTTGGCGGCCACCGCACAGTATTTTTCAATAATGCCTGAGAGTGACTTTCAAGTCGTTGTGTGTCCTGTAGTTTATGTATTAGAGTAGTTTCTTAGGCTGCTTAATTGTACGTAGTGCTAACTGCATCTCATATTTTTTCTGAGCTTCCTGGATTTTATTAATACACATATTTCTTACTGACCTGTAGCGTTCCATCGTACTTATGGCAACGTTCCAAAATTTCTTCTCTTGTCTTAGTAAACGTCAAAATTCCGGCATACCTAAGGATGACCGTGCTTCTTCATCTTTGGGACTCTCCGGGGTGTACATGGTTGAGTTACCCGGTTGTATAACTGCCCGAAATGAGTCCATGCTTCTTGTACCGATGCCCTTCAGTCAATTTCCTCATTTTTAGCCGATGCAGCAGAGTTGACTGCCTCCATATCTGTCTTCCATATGCTAGAAAGCGCCGGTTCAACAGTTTGGCAGGTCATCTCAGCCATGAATTCAAATAACATAGTTGCATGATCGCTTCTTCCTAGAGATGAGAGGAAAGTCATCTGATCGACTTCATCACAGTGCGTGAAGACTAAGTCCAGGAGAGACGAGGAGCTTCGTAATTCATATCCGGTCGGATCTCTAATGTGCTGGAATAAAGCTTGTACAACTAAGGTTTCTAACAGTTTGCAGTCAAATGACGTCTATGGCTCTACTTCTAAGTTTACTCAGTTTACATACGGTGCATTAAAGTCACCTACTATAAGGCTTTTGCCCATATTACACCAGGACTTAAGTCTATTTGGGAGGAGGTCATCTATTACACATTCTGGGCTGCGCTACACTACAACTAATCCAAGATCTTGCCGTCTATACTTTAGCCTGCAACGCACCAGTTCACATGTCTCTGAATCATGAGCTACTGTATCAACAGTTCGTATGGTTAAGGTACTTTTCGTGTACAGGATAACCCCACCTCTCCTACGGTTTAATCTATCAGTCCTGGATAAAAAAACAGACAAGTGGATTTCATTATCGAACACTTCTAACGTTAACCATGTTTCTGAGACAGTAATAACATCTAGTTTTTCTACATCCACCATTTTCTTGAGCTCCGTCATTTTGCTGTGTAGGCTGCAAGCATTTATGTAGCACACCTTTAATTCTGTGGAGAACTTTCCCTTAACGCCCAGAGTAGTTTGGGGATCGTTTTCCTCCAAACTTTTACAATTTGAAAACCCACATGTACGAGGTTTTTAACTGATTCGGGGTCGCTCATTTATTTATACTTCTGCAGCTGGTCTCTGTTTTCTTACTTTTCTTTTCCTGTGTGACTGTGAACCGATCATTTACCTTATTTTGTCTCTTGATCACATGCTCTACACCGCTCAGAATTGGCTCCCTGATAGTTTGTTTAGCGTTGATATGTAGATTCACATACCTTTGTGTTGCCTATAATTCGTTTCTTTTTGGAGTGGTTTTAATTTTTCCTTGTAACAACGCCCATATCGGTGTGCTTTTTATCCGCTTCCCCGACCGGGTCCACCTTTATGGTCTCATCCAAATCCAAAGCTGGGCTCATGATAACGCTCTCTATTTCCTCGAAAGCAGAATTCTGATCATTTACTGCTGCCTGATTATCTGAGGGCAATGTTCTAGCTATGTTCTGAAGCTCAATCAGCTCAAGAATAAGGAGAGATTTTGTAGAACATGCTTTGCACAGCCAACGTAATAATGGCTTGCAACACCTTTTTTACGCAGCCGGTGTGAATCTGGCAAACATATTTTGATACAACATACTGCCTCTGTCACATTGCATCCTGTCATCGACAGGGAAATAACATGCAGGACTGCACAACGATATTCTACTTGCAACATGATTATTTTTTGTGATTTCACAGCGAAATCTGATCTCCAGAAAAGTGGCTTTTGAGGTTTGATGAGTGGCAGACACTAAACACAAACAAAAACATACGTTCGTATATATCTATCTAACAGCAATAGTAGAAAAATCCAACTTCAGTAGTTACAAAAAGACTTTAACAATTTAGGATATAAAAAATACTGAAAGGCACACTAAACGAGGAGAAAATGTCAGTACCCTTTGTTCTATATTGTATGTGTACTAGAAAAGTACAGATGATAAACTTGTCTCGGCAAAAGCTATACTCTTGGGGAATCTTCAGCCAGAATAAACTCAATTAAAGTGTAACCAGACTTTTTTAAACGAACGAAACAATAAAATCAACTCAGTGAGGAAAAATAAAACTTTTTTAAATAGCTCATGTTTTGGGATTACATTTGTGGCGGGGTTTGTGAGGTGTGCGTTGTCGCTCGTTGTTCAGATTATTCGTATGATTCTGTAGTGTATCCACACTTCATACTTTAAATTGATGCTGAAAACTTTCATTTATATGTGTCATCGTAGTGTGCGTGCTTCTTGAGTCGCCATCACTTGTTGCTTTTCACCCCCTTAGGTTTTTCGTCACACGCTTATCGAATCCTGATCGGGAGATCGATCTCTCGATGCTGGTAAGAATTTTATCATTTGTGGGGAAACCATCAAAAACCCTTGGAAAAATGCAACGTAACCCGCAATTTTCTCTGACTTGGAGCTTTCCCTTCAAATTTAGAATTATTTTGGAGAAATCCCTAAAAGTCTATTTTGGGGAATTTTGGGTTTTGCCCATTGTTCCCCAAAGTTTGTGTTCTCTGATAAAACTTCGAAACTCCTGAGTTTTATGGGAAAAAGTCTGTGTTTTTGACGATGTTTTAGTCAGTCAGGAAACGAAGGCTTATCATGAAATAACAGACGATAAAAAGATGACAAAATAACAGAAGAACTGTAGCTTAAATCTAAATGATTGACCCTCATATGTCGATGTATTTTTTTCAGTAACGGCCAATTGTCAAGAATACACATTGGAATTCAGAGTGATGTGATTTAAGACCATAAGCCCGTGGAGCCTTCGTCACTAACTGGCAGTTACAATGTAATATTTTCAGGATTAGATTTTAAAAATTCAGAAGGAGCGAATTTACCAAATGTCAAAATGGAAATTTTCACTATTTTAAAATTCAGTCTTGAGCTTTGAGTTTCGTTTGGAAAAATTAAGGTCGGGGTTTCTTCATTATGAAGTTGCATAACATTCCATGCAATACCTTATCGTCTTCCTGTCTACACACTTAAGAGACTAAGGGTTGTGATTTTAGGTATAAATTAGCAAGAAAGGGTATTATCCAGACAACTGACTAGGTCACATCAGGTGCTTTAACATAACATCTTCCTTGGGAGTAGGTGCGTTTTGCAACCTAGGTTGAACACTATTTTCGATTCATTTTTCGGTTGCCTGGTTGATGCTTTTATGAATTCCGGGCATTGTAAAAATCAGTTATTACCAATTTTCACTTGGTCATCTATCACTGCACTTTTAATTTCGTGCAAACTACGTAAAGGGTTATCTTAACCCTGATTGACTAACCTGCAGCCTTCAGTATGCTGTACTTGTGCTCGAATGTTTACCGAAAATCTATACGGGTCTGGGGCTTTTTGCCAAAAAACTGTGTAATTCGGAAATTAGACGCTTCACTAAGATTCCCTATAAAGTTCGGACTAGATCCGAAAGTATTTTTAAATAAACGTTAAACATCAACTAGTCAGAACGCTTTCGGTAAACCAAGTTAATTCTTTATTGATTTTGAGGTGTGTAAAGAAACATTGGATTCATATGGCACGGTTTAGGTTGTCCAATCTGGACGAATCAGTAAGACTATGACATTTCGAAGGCCATTTCTCAGTATCGTGTGTATCATGATTAATTCACCTCATCTAGGACGGATAGGGTTAGTGGATATTACCAGTCCTTAAGGTCACTAACTTCTGATCCGAGCCGTGTTGGTAGATTAAGACTACTTGGTTGGTGTCCATGTGACTATCGTAGTTAATGTTTGGAGATTCTTAGTGACATGGCTAAGAACCGATCACAATGGCGTAGGTGTATACAATCTTTGTTTTCCCTTAAACCCTAAGATTAAAGTCACTTTATACCTTTCTTTCTACGAACTAGTTCTTTCTCCCTGTATCATGTCCGTAAATGAAATGTTTTTTTACTATCATTGAAGTAACTGCTATGAATTTGGTGTTCATCTTGTTGTACTAATGAGGTGTGGCAACTTACATCGATGCATATATTATTATTATTATTATTATTATTATTATTATTATTAGCTTTATTCAACATTATATTTTTGGTACAACATAGAATTCTCAGCATAAAGTATTTCAACAAGTTTCCTTTTCTTATACCTTGATATATTGTGACGATAAATTTTGAATGATGACCGGTTAGATGTTAGGAGTTCGGTAATCCACATTTGATTAATGTTCATTCGTTTCAATCCATATTGCCAGCCACCATGATATCGCTGATTGTACCTTTTTGTATCACGTATAGCGAAAGGTTGTAAACTTTTCATAAACGCGCCTGAATAAATTGTGCGCACAATAGACATAATGATGTGCTAAAACAAACAACAAAACAGATAACTTGATGAAATATCTAGATCGGAGGAACAGGTAGTCTAAATATTCAAGCAGGCCGCCGTATATGTTCCTTGTCCTACGTTATAACTGTCCGACCCACGATTTATCTTAGTCCCAGATATTCTTCAAATGTGGGAACGCTGCCACTTCCTTGCCAGTTTATACCTTGACTCATGAATCGGATCCCTCTTGTTTCAGGATGATACACATTAAGTACGTAAACACATCTTTTCAGAGCTTCACCATCACATAATTTGAATGGTACTTGTTGTGGTTTTCCTTAGGATCTCATTTTCACTTTGTAATGGCTAAGGCTAGTTCCGCAGAAACCACTGCTTCACTAGTAGTCTTCGTCTGCACTTATTACTGTATATACGATAGAAGGGCTAAGTCATTTTCAAAGTCCACATCACCCATCTAAACATGTGTTTTCACTGTATTCCTTGTTTCTCCTGAGATGTGGATGTGTTTACAATCCAGACAACAACCAGAAAGATAAAAAGTGACGGTGGATAGTCTTACTTAATACAAGTCTTCATTTGAAGTATATCTATGAGCTACTCTCCATGCACAACTTTGAAATTCAGTCTATCGTAGGAATGCCATATGACAATGACAATCTTTTAAAACACTTAACAATGTTGAAGTCTTTCTATGTATCCTGTCGACTGCTTTCATATAATTAGGGAAGTTGGTATATTGTGATGGGTCCATCCAATTGGCTGTTCAAAAATGATTCGCAGTTTGGTCGGTACACGATCTTACTTTATGAAAGCCAGCTTGTTAATCTAAAAGTTGGGCATTTACTGTATCCTTCACTCAATTTAGCGACACTTTTGGAAACTTTGCCTAGAATTAACAGTGCCGTTATCTCTTTGTAGGCCTGTAGCCCTTCAAACTGCTCTATCCACTTGTTCCATCGCTTTGGGACTCCAGTGATTTGTTTAGCTTTTTCCCTAACTACTCGCTTTGGTCTACAGTATTTTCCTGCAAGCTGTTTTGCTATATGCTTGTGAAACCTGGCCTTTCCGAGTTGACGATGTTAGACGACTCTGTGTTTAATCACTGTTGTCTCCTAAGGATTGTTGACATCCAGTGGCAACACTTAGTAATGCAGAGGTTCGGCACCATGTGTTCGTGCACAGCGACGATAATTAATTCTTGTTCTTTTCTATTATATCCACTTTTCTTTCTCTGTGTCTTCACAACTTCATTGTTATTGTGTAGCGCATATGTATTTGGTGCTTCATTGTACCAATTTTTATGTGTTCTAATAAATAAAGCTTTTTGGTTGTATCATATGGTTCTCTCATATTTTGTTCTGTTGTGGTTGTCAGATCTACGTATTTCTTTTTATGACCTCTAAAACTTCTTCACTAGGTTGTTCACTTCTATGTATTCTACGCGTGCCTTGTCTTTATTTTAGTTCAACTGTTGCTTACTGTTCTTTGTTTTTCCTTTCGAATCTTGTCCAGATTTTCTACAGAATTCCTTTCTTAATGTTTGTATTTCTTGAAGCCTAGAGTTTTCCGACATGTTAAAGTTGTTACTTCCGTAATTCCTTTCCATTTGTTCTCCATAAAGGTTTCTTCTCTTAGTGGATCTTGTAAGACATTGAACTTGTTGTTGATAGCTATCTTGAACATGCCGAGTTTGTTACTATCTCTAAGGAAGCCCATGTTAAAAATTCGTATTGTTGCAACCTTAACTGTCTAATGCTTTAGCTTGAGTTTTGACCTATCCATCACCAGGTGTTGATGTGAGTGTATATCAGTTCATTTCTTTGTTCTTACATTTTCCATGGACCTCCCGAGTTTTTTAATTTTGAACGTGTGATCTATCTGGTTTCTTGTTTTTTTCCTCCGGTTAAACAAATGTGGCTTTCTGTATACATTTGTGGAGGAAAATACTGGCTCCTATGACCATATTGTTTGAAGTACACAGATCTAACAGCCTCTTACCACTGCCTTTTCTCTTCTCCCAGTCTTTGTCACCCCATGACGGCTTCATACTCAATTTCGTCTATCACAACATTAGTGTTTAGGTCCCCGTTTAAGATGATTAAGTCTTTTCCTGAGCTTTTTCTCAGGATGGACTTCAGTCACATAAAACCGGTTTTCAAAATATTTTGTGATATATTTAGTGGATATGTAACACTAGATAACATTAACTGTAATCCTTTCCTTGCCTTAATAATCCTTGAGTCATAATTTCTCATCCTATTTTCGCATTTTGTGCTTCTTTGGATATCATCAATGCAACTCCATGTGTGCGGCTCATTTTATGCCTTCTTGATCAGCAAAAGACTTCTCTACTGAAGGTAGTTTTTTGTCCAATAAGTTTGACTTATTAAAAGCACGGTCAAACTGTCTATTTCTATTTCCGTGGCTACTTAAATAGCTCTCCTTGTCTCCCACATTGTGCAGACATTCCACGTACACATATTTGTCGTTTCACTGGTTGTCAAGAAAGAATTGGCCTCAATGTTTTCAAAAAAATTTTGGATTTTACCATGAGGCATCATAAACAGTGTATATGAAAATTTCTCGTTAACGATTTTTTAGTGAGGTTCTTTTTATGAAGTAATGTTACTAATGCTACGCAAGGTCCTCCTTCACATGAGCTTGGACCCGACAGTAATCCAAGAAGGGTTCTAGGCGAAATCGATAGTACAGATAGCATGGCTAAAATTTTCCAATCCATTTTTCTTCGGTAGTTTTCTAGGCGATTACCATTAGCTATGTCACTTATATCAAAGCGGAATTTTTAGGGGTAACTTTGCAGTTTATTTATTTAAACAAACATTGGCAAAAGCAGGCACCAAGTAGATATGCACCCCACAATTCAATTTGTATGAGGGCTGGAATTATGCCCGGACACCGAAACCAAAGCAGGTAGTTCTCTTAGGGGCAACTACCTGAGCCTTTGACCTAGAGGTCTAATCCAGGGAGCAGTGGAGTAGCGTTGGGAGATGCAGTCCTATGGTAGCCGGTGACCAACGATAGGTTCATGCACTATTTGTTCCTTCAGGATCCTGGAGCCCATGTGCGCCACTGGTTTGAAATGAAGGTCATCCAACTCCACTAGGTAGGTCCTCCATATCCACGAACCCCGGTAAAGCCATGAACATTCGCTTTTCGTCCTTTCAATTTCGTAAACAACCGTGTCACGGGAAGATCGTAAGCTGAATTTTCTCGGCAGTGGTTGTATGCGCGTGGCCATGTGAGAGCATTTCGAGAGGGAGATCTGACTCTCCCCACTCTGCCGTACCAATCAAAATCAAAGTGATCATATCTTGTAACACCGTCTTTTGATTGAAGGGGCTGGACCATTGGGTATTTTGTGGTGCGTTATAAACTTTTCACATTATCCCATCCTCAAAATAAAAGCAACAGATTGTGGTCTTTCACAGTACTGGTTTGTTCATATCATTCATAGAAAACATTTTCCAAAAAGTTACGAAACGAAAGGAGTAATTTTGATGGTGAAGCGAACTGAACAAAACACGCTTGATTATAATGTGCTAAACGACAAGAGTACACTTCATTTTTAAGTCTGCTAGGGGTTTAAAATCAGTGATAGGTCACTTAGCAAGATGACTGCAAATCTCGTGTGTGTGTATATATAACCCAATTTTAACCTTTCTTTGATATCTGGATATTTTTATTTATAATGTATTTGTTATCTTGTTGATTCAGTGTCTTCTTATTGACGAACGCTGGTAGTGTGGAACCTGGTACAAATGCGTATTTGTTAAAGTTGTCCTACTTCATATAACAGCGGTAAAAGAAAAGTGAAAGGATATAAAAGTGTAAAAACAATTGTTTCAAAGTCTTTGGATTACTTTCACCTATTGAACAAGTACGTGTACATTTTTATGTTCTGTGTGGAATTCAATAGCTAGACCCTTTGGATATGTTCTCTGCAGGAATAAAAAGGTTACAAAAACTTTATAAACTTATGTAAGAATAAATGACATTTTTACTTGTTTACATTTTTCTCTCGTTCTTTCATCAAACCTTGTGTTTATACTTTTGTTTTGTCGGGTATGTATCATGACTCACCATACAAATAATCGGGAAAATAAATAAACATAATTAAGTTTAAGAATCCTGTTGAGCGCTATCTAATGATTTTAGGACATCAACAACCGATTTATAAACGTCAGGTTCAAATATAGGTAGTGAGCTAATTGACAGATATTCAGTAGTATATTGAATGGAAGCTTCTAAAGTTTGGCGAGAGATTTACATTTTTTAGTCCAAGCATGTTGGTTTTCTGGTCCTCATCAAAGTGTAAATTTTTAAGGGCATTAAGTTCGAATAACCTATCTAGTTTCGATGATTGGTTCCCGAAAATAATCAATGAATTACGTAAAACCATTTGGACGGAACGAAAACGCCATTATGGCGAGGTTACTGACTGGAATGAATTGTAGCACTAAAGTAAGAAATGATGGACCATGTTTAAGTGAAGTGGCACATAGACATAAAGTGATGGAGTATGTTCTTGTACGGCAAAACGGTTTGAGTTTATGAGCATTTATTCATGGGAAATGGGATATTTGGATTGCCATAACTTTTATGGAGGATTTGATACTATCCAGAAACCCAAGTTTAAATAGGAAGCCTTTGTGAAGAAACCACTGCTCAACTTTTAAAATAAAAATTCAATTTACAAGGTAGTACCAGGAGAAGCAATATTATAGTGGTCTGGAATTGTCGTAGGCTGAAAAAAGCTCAGTTTGTTAAGCTGCTGAATCTTATATATTGTTATTTTAGAGACAGTGTTTTTTCCACTCTAGATATATCCTTCGTATCTCTTATGCCTTCACTTGGGAACACCTCACCGCAGTAGGGAAAATAAGAACTTTCTTAGTATAAGGTATAAATACGCGGTTATAATATAACATCGTTTCGAAAAGAAAGATCAGAATCCTTCTCAATTCCTCAGTTGAACACTCATTAAATTTGAAGCTTAGTTTCACTCCACACTGCTCATCCCCCTTTATTATTTATTATTTTGGAAATATATACGTAGTTTTATCAAACATTAGATGTTACTATGTCTACTCAGGTGCATTTCGTTTCGTTGGTCTTCTCTGTCCTTGTGCTTATACAAAACGTTAATTTGGATTGACAGGGCAGAAAGTCGGCGTAACGATTCTTGACGGAAAATGGGCATTGATAAGCGCTTTATTTTGCACTAAAGTTATCGTTGTCAGTAGTAAAATAAAAACATAAATAAATTGTTCAACTGGTATCACGTGTGATCTTTTTTTCCTTTTGACCTTAATTGTTTTCTTACGTTCCCAAGATATCACCATCCAGACTTTTAGTGGTGCAAATATTTTTCTTTTTGATTGAAGGTCTTTCAGTCTTTCTCGTTTTTATTTTTCTTATTCGATGGTTTCCATGGAGTCACTTTACTATGCGACTCACTTCACCTCATTTTATTCTGTGATGAACTATAAATCCTCTGTTCAGAGAGTTGAAGCACTAAAGGACTTCCATCCACGTCTACGGTAGTTGAGTACTTAGAAACAGTAGCAAAAAGAACAGTCCGGGGCCTTCTGTCACTTAAAGCTAGTGTATCTAAATAGCTTCATATTAACTAATTGGTGTAGAATATAATTTCTGGCTATCTGAGAGTATGGTGATAAGGAAAAGCTGTTTAAACAGATTGACTTAAAGAGAGCAAGAACAAAGATTGGTGCAGAATAATATGAATTCATTTTATTCTGCACCAATCTTTGTTCTTGCTCTCTTTAAGATAATAAAGGGAACTATGCATGTGAGATTGACTTAAGTTTGTACAACGACTGCGAACACTAATAGCAAACGAATAGGAATGTTTAGTGTGTAAAATCATGACTTATTTAAGGGTCAGTGATCAATGAGGCATTTATCAAAGAAGACTAGTGTTTATATAATGTTTCAAGGAGTGTCATTTCAAATTGACAAACTTTCTGTTAAAAAGTACTGTGTTTATACATATATTTCATAAAGTTGTTTCGTCACTAACTTGTACAAGTAAAAATATACTGGAAAAACCATTATTGTTGTAATACTGTCGCCTCCAGCACCAGTTGCTGAGTTGATCGTTTAAGTATGCTTATGTTTATTTGGATAAGTTTAAAAACTACATATAACTAAATCTTTTGGAGAGTTGCTGCCAGTGTTGTTGGATCAATACACTAGATTTTCGTAAGTATAATATAGGTGAGTTGACCTTCGGTTATTTATGTGACTAATATTCAAGACTAGTGCCTCTACTTCTTATGATTTAATTCATTTTATCCTTCGCTATCACCAATAATCTTGCTACTGTTTTAAAAGGCGCCGATGTGATCACATGAAGTAGGTGAACAATATTAAATCTCTGTTTTAGGTAATCGTCCAAAGGTGTATTCAAAGGGCTCTTTATTGTAATGAATGTTACCCATACATTAATCCCATTGTATACAAAATGACTACTGAATCTTCAGAACAAAATATTACCAATTTTATTCAACCAGTTTCAATCCCTGAACATATGACGATGGACATAACAAATGCTTTCTTTTCTGCTTGTCGAATCGGACTAAAACCTGGGGAACTATTACACCCTTGTTGGTTTGACTTGAAGTATTCCATGTCAGCTATCGAGATTATGGACCCTAAAATGGATGCTCTAGTTCAAGGAAACCGGAAAGTTCTGACTGTATGTGAGGCGTTATCTAGTGAGCAGTTACCTTTGGGGCCTTTTTCGTCACTTTACGAGCTTTTGGGTATCACAGATGAACTTTTAGCTGCTTGCGTCAATTGGCTGACGGGCGATTCTCTTGCGCAAAGTATATTTATTTGCATGTATATGCACTGCACTCAGTTAATTAGAGATAAATATCTTGCTGCATTTTGTGAGTTATTACGACGATCAATCTATCAGTTGCGTCATATAATAATCTGTGCGAATGTCTTTGACGAAGAGGATCATTACAAGTTCACACATGGTATGCCAGTTCATGAACCCTCAAATATTTTTGATGGTTGCAGTGGCTTTCGTAATGACTGTCTGCATAAATTGTCAGTGTCAGAATTAATAGCTCATGTAAATGATTTGAATAGAAATCTTGAAAATGAATCTACCATGTTTGCGGATCGTGAGGAAAAACTACTTATGGGATTACACAGTCGTCTACAGTTTGTTCAAGTGTTGTTACTGTTCACAAATTCAATCTTTGAGTGTATAAATCCAACTCGAGTCTATTTTGGGCAAGATCTATTTGAAGGATATACGCATGCAGATCTCGATTTTTCTGAAAAAAATCCATCACCTCCTAAACTGTATGAAGCTAAAAATAACACCGAATTTCTATGGGACTCCTTCATAGATATTTGTAGGAAAGTGTCCCAGCATTTAAGTAGTCTGAAATCACTGAGTGATGCATTAGTAGAAACTTCAAATATTGGAAAAATGGCTGGTGAAGGAAAGTTTAGACCAAAGGACGCTGCATATGGTCTTCCAGGTTTTGAAGTTTTCTTGAATCAAACCAATGTACCTACATATATGCCCAAAGTGGTAAATATTCACGATCGTCACAAATCATTTGTTTATTTTTCAAGTCTCTTTACAAGACTCAATCATATTCTATGTACATACGAAAATTTTGCCTTATGGAATGTTTTACATCCTGAACCCCTGCGCCTTCATAGTTTATGGACATTTATTCAGAAATCTGGTCAGATATCTTGTCCTTATGTCAAAGCTCTTTTGTTTCCTGACGACTCTAGCGAAGTAAATGAACCCATGTTAACTACTTGTGTTTTATCAAAGACAATTATATACATGTTTCATTCCACTCTTATGGGGCAAGGAGATGCTATTGAGCTTCAACCTCCGTTTCTCTCTCCAGTGCATTTCCTAAATTCATGGCAGGAGTTAGAGCCTACTGCGTATCGCCCACTGATTAAAAATATCATTGATAATATTCCTGAACTGATGAGTTTTTTCACTACACTTTCAAATCATTTCGCCCATGTAAGTGCACATTTTAGTTTATATATATTTCTCAACCTTCTATATATAAGACTGATTCTTAACCTGTTCCACTTATTGATTTTCGTAATATTCTGTACATGTTCCACACGAATTTAGCTTTTTTTCAAAACTTGGTTGTCTTTCAATAAAATTGCATGAACATAGTTGGATAGCAGCTGGATCCATAACTGAAGTTAAAGATATTTTTCATCCACTGGACAACCACTAAAATGCAGAAATCACTGGGTAACCGTTTAATTGTAGGTTGAAATGCAGTATTATAGACCGATGACCCTACACATGTACGGAGAATGGAATTTTGTGTTATGCGACAGTTACAATACATTTTAATCTATAAATAAGAATCCATCGGTCTACGCTTCTGATTTTAGATAATTCGTGAAACAACACTGCGACCATCTAGCCCTTCCAGTGATTACTTTCATTCTTGAGATGTTCAAACTGTACCAGTGATTATTCCCAGCCAGCACTTTTGAAATGTACCTTAAACATGGTCAGTAATGCTGATATAACCAGTGTCTAGTTGATTAATTTGCGAATATTGGCTCAGTTTGAAGAGCCATACTTTTTATATTACAACTAGAAATCTTAATCAACATTGATTGGACAGAAACTAACCTTGCGACTCAAAGTCAACTGTGCAGATTACGAAGTACTGGTCCTGGATTATTTAACTACTATTTCTGATCTGTTTGTCTCGATTTGTCACAGTTTTCCCCAGTTTCAATCATAGTTGAGTAAATAACGATTATTCTCTATTAAACGTTGACTGAACGACAAGCAACTGGATAATTAATCCAAGTTAACTAATCCTGGAGGATTTTATTCACTGTTCTAACATTGTTGGATAAGAATTTGACACTAGTTTGTTTCATTCTGTTATCACGTTTATGGTGCTACTTCAGAAAATTTGAGAGTAGCCTCAAATATGTTACAGCATCTACACTATTGCCGCCTGACTATCTTGTGTAACTTTTTACGCTACTACCTACCATCGCACAAGATTGTCAGTTTAATTACCAATTAATCTGTGTTTTAAACGACGTTATTTTTATTTTGTAACTGACATCAGCTAGGATGACTTACCTTATAATTTTCTATGGTTTTCGTTGTGATTAATTAGTGATTCTTAGTGAAATATTTTTGCCAAGATACTGAATCAATAAAATATTTTGATTAGTATACGATAACCATTTTGCTTGTTTCTCGTAAATACCTACTATCCAAACACCGAGCAATTAGGTCTATTCTAAGGGTTTATAAATATCTGTTATCAAGCAGATGTAAAGGGCGGTACGCATTGTCTACAACATAAACTAGATTAACTGGCGAAGTAGAATTCCTACAAACAAATATCCAAATGGCTCTAACCATGCTAACTACTTTTATTTCATGTAACCCGAAGTTTACATTGGGTTACTATAAGTCAATCAACGTTCTGTTTATAGGTATCCAACATTTGCAAGGTTACAAATTTTTAGGAAATGTGGTTGATAATATATGTTGAAACTTACAGGTAAATCTTGATGTACTTTATTGTTTTGAGAAGATATCCATAAATCCCAATCTTAAGTTTATATTTTATCATTCTCTTTAATCTAATCTGTTATTATTTTAATTGTAATTAAAATGTTCTAGATTATTTCCTTTATACTATTTAAACTCGCGTTAATTTATCTTGGTTATTTATTTACGCTGTAGAAGTGACTTACATCAAGTTACAAAACGCCAGAAATACAGTTTTTCTACTCATCGGAACAGCGAAAATATATTTATTAACTTTCTACCCAACGCTTAATTTATTTGAAATTATCAAGTCGAACTTCGGCACTGATACATATTAATATAAGATTATTGTGTGTAGCAATGGTAGCATTGTCATTGAGTAAATAAATATTTCCGATTCCCAAACATCGCACAGGTTAAGACGTTTTTCATGCAGTTGGTTCCCTTTATGAATTTAACTAGAGCAAGAACAAACATTGATGCAGAATAGTACGAATTCATATTATTTCGAGGTTTCTCGTCAGCTGCTTACAAACTAAAAATGTGATAGAATTTTTACATTGAGATAGTGTGAAACAATTGACATAAATGAGTGTAAATAACTGGATTACAATAATAACTATATATATATGCTAGAACAGGTCAGAGGTTACGTAATAATAATTAAATAGAATTTGAAAAGTTAAGATAATTTAAGAGGATCAGGTGGCGGGAATGTGTGAACAATAATGTGGGTTAAGAGGGGAGGAGTATAAATATTTTAAAATAAATAAATGAATAAAATAACATAAATAACCAAAACACAAAAAAGGATTACCAGGGTAGTGATAAGTTTATTAAAGTCTCTTTTTGAGTGCATAAGTCCGGTTTAAGTTTTTTGATCGCAATGGCTTCAGCGAAACGGAGGATGGTCGTACTTCTTTGTCTGTTGATAATTTTGAAAGCGTGCGGAGTGTCGACGGTGTGCTCGGTGTCAAGTAAATGCCGAGCTATTGCGCTGTTGAAAGCCTTAGTCCTTCGCAGCCTCAAGTTTTTCATGAACATGTTCAGAAATGTGGACATGCACTCTTCTCTCAGTTCTCCCAATGTATGTGCTTTGGCACGTACATATGAATTGGTAAATGCAGTTGGAGCTCCAACTGCTTGCTTGCTTTATTTGTTCTTGCTTTATTTAAGACGTTTTTGTTTTGAGCATTTTCTAGTCAAAGTTTCTAATCGTTGAATGTATATCTATTGTTTTAATCATATCTTACAGATCTCTTATATTTACTGTCTTAACCGTTCACGCCAGCGTCCCGCTCTTGGTTTATGGTTGGATGATCTTCCAAATTTGCTTGACGAGTGTGCAAACGCCGAGTTTGTCATTGGTGTTGAACTTAGAAATAAACTGGCAAATAAAACAACTGAGTGTTTTGAATCTGTAGGAAAATTTGAAGTTTTATCGACGCAAAAGGCTGTTGTACCTGTTCAAATCAATCTGTCTTGTTTTGTAACTTATGTGTATTATTACTTAGCATGGGATTATATTGTCTCTGGGTTTCAACTAGACTTGTATTCTCCAAGTGAATGGTTGTCTATTTACGCTTTTATGATACACTTATTCCAGAATTTAGCTTCTTTGCTCAGGAGTTTATCGGAAAACTGCATCGTTTCAGGATCTGAAGGACAACCTACTTTAGAAAATCAATCCGCTGATAGTAAAGATCTAAATGAACAAGTTGATAAGTGTGATTCTGTGAATGATGTTGAGAGGCTTGTCAATCGTCAAAGTAAAAAGAAGAAGAAACATCGAGAAAAATGCAATGTATCTGGTGTACATAGTAAGGGCATAGAAATGTCGAATACCACGAATTTTAACAGCGTTGTTAAACCAATTTCACCTATGATACATGAAATAGGTTCGACTTTTGAGGTAAGACATTTTATCGTTAATCTACTTTAGTCACCTGTTTAGTTCTCAGGAGACTTTAGTGTTCAAACTGCTTTTGATTTGAACGTTTCACGTGTAAATTGTTTGATTCATTAATAGTAGTATTACAATACTTTTGAGATATACGATTCTAACTGACTATAACAACTTTAGTAAAGCGATCCATGCGTTCATACAGTAATTGAAGGAACGTTATTATCTGCATGTCATTCTTAATTGTGAAGTATCAAAGTAATGTGTGCTTAATATTTGCTGAATACCTTTGGGGTTAAATCATTGAATTAGTCATAAATTCGGTAAATATTCCTTAATGGTTGACCAAATTTTCTTTACACACTTAAGTTAATTTAATTTTTGAGTATAGTTATACTTTCGCATTCATCTGACGTGGATTTTTAAACTAATATTTTTTTTAATGATTTGTTTTTGAGTTAAATTTATTCGGTATGTTACTAATGTTCAAAAAAGTAACTTTTGTAATATTTGTGACGTCGGTTGTCTAGTTTAGTATCTGTTAGCTAATACACTTAGTTTTTTCCCTAAAAGTTAAAATGAATAATATCAATATAAGTGACCTCGATTACCACTATGAGTGTAGTAGTCAACAAGTGGATCCCTAATTATCATTTGAAAAATATATCAAAAATTATGAACCCATCCCGAAAACCTAACAGAAATTGACCTTGCATCAAGAATGTCTCATAGATCACAAATGGACCAGTGAACAGTTCATGATGAGCTGTTTTCTGAGGCAAATTAGTGATAGCTAAAGCACCGAATTTTGAACCATTAGGTTGTAGATCAGAACCCCAGTCCATCTATTTTAATTTAGGCAGCCAATTTGTATCACTCATCTTCATTCAAGGAAGCGTGTATAATGACTTTTTAGTTCAAAAAGATCCCTTCAAAATCTTTTGATATTTTTGCCATTTATCCATCATCTGAAACCATCTTTGTTTTTCTTTTGTCATATTTGAAATACACGAAAGTCGTTAAACAAAGTTGTTTTTAGATAAAATCGCCATCAATTTGTACCTTTGTATACGTATTACAAGGCTTAATTCTGTGGGGAAATGTGTACAGTGAATAATTATGATTGCATAATAATAAGTATTATATTAGACCAGATAGCGTAAACATTGCGTAATTTGCATTACGTGAATAAGCACTTTTTAACGTATGCTTCCTTTTTCTTTTTCCGGTTTGTCTAATAGACTTTTTGGTAATTATGATACCTATTGCAACTCCAGTGGTTATTTTGTAAATTTTCGGAATCAGTCTGTTACATTTGATGGGATGGTTGTGTAAACCGTAAGATCTTGATAAGTGATTACAACATATCCATTTTGTTTTCTGCGAGAAATCTGGTTGAAAAGTAAGCTTTTAATCAAGTTCTAGTAAATCAGTCCCTTTGTATACTTACAGCAAACAAATTTGAATATTCAGAATTTGAAATTATTTTCATATACAAACACAATTCTTTCATTTGCCGACTTTTGTATAAAAGCAAATAGATTCACGGTTTAATTGCTGTTATGACAACTAAAACTTCCGTATGGCTTTGAATGTCCTGTCTCGTTAGAAAGTGTTTTATTTCTTTGTTCTTAGTAAGGTAGAGTGATCCTTTAAATGTTAGTATTTTGTTTAATAAAGGCTTCTTTACTTATGTAAATCTAATGTTCTCTATTTTCATCCTAAATATTTTTCCAGGTTCACTTGCTCAATGTACATCAATACTTGAATACTGCAACCCTGTATGTTATACGTGCGCTTCAGAGAGATAGTGGGATAGAAATAAATGTGAATTGTCTAAGTCCGGATCCTAATTCTGACGGGCAACTACGTTCATTTATTAGTCGAAATTATCTGGAACCTTATGCCAGAAGGCTTGGAATTTTTCTCATTCCTCATAATTCACCTCTAGCTGAAATGGGAGGTGTTTCAGGGGCTTATGAAACATGGAGATCATTAGTAAGTAGTAGCATTATTGATGGTCGTTCAACAAGTGATCTTTATCTGATGGCAGCAAGAGCGTTTGATGAAGCTCAGAATTTAATTCAGAAAACTCTGTATTTGAAGTCAGTAGGTGAAGAAAAGTTACTTAAGTTTACACAGTCTCCTATTGTTCTACCCCTGTTCACTGAAAAGTTAGGGCCTCCTGACCAACTCATCGATCTTCAACAATTAGCGAGACGTAATTCCATTGCTTGCCGTGTACTTGGTGTATGTGAAGATCGACGGCCAATTGTACATACAGCCAATCCGTCCACAATAAATCCTAAAATGTCTTTTTTATGTTCGTCTAGTCCAGTTAAATTGGACTACAATTTTTTAGAAAGCAAGTGTTATCCGCTTATTCGTCTAGCTAGTCAATCTAAAAAATGTTAATAATAGTTATGTTCACCTGTGAATATCTGTTTGGATGTTATGAATTTGTTTAAAGACTGGGTGTTAAAATGATGTTTCTAATTAATTCTTTCTTTTAATGTAATATTTTTTAGCAGATGCATGTATTTTGTATACGGACATTTTTTGGAACTTAGATCTTTTTCGTTCTTGTATAAATTAATCAAATATCCTCCTATCCTCCTGTATATCAGTGTCCTCGTACTTGTTGTAATATATGAATTCTAAGCAAATAATTATGTACATAAGTCGAAAAATAATGAACATATTTATTGGAGATATCATATTTATCTTTAAATTCATGATAGTTTAATGTATTAAATATTTTGTTTTAGATAAATAAACTGCCTACAATTTTAAATCACGTAAAGACGTCAAATAATAGACGAATTTCAATCAAGAGACTAGTTCTAAATATAAGCTAAGAATTATAACCGTCTTGTGGATTTTAGTTATCAAGATGAAATATTAGCACATATCGTTTTAAGTAAAAACAGTTGTTGATTTAAGTTGGTATGTAACTAGTGAATTAAGTATTAAAAGAATAGAATTTCTTGCCACTAGTCATTTTTAAAAAATTAATAATGGTGATATATGCTCTTTGGTGGTCTATGTTTATTGAACGTTAGTATTAAAATAACTTTCCAATGTGAACAATCATTTATCTTCGTTGCTCTTAGTTAATATATCAGAAATAGGATATGTGAAATCAAACAATCTACATAAAAATTTACAAAAGATTTTTTTACATTACATACCATAAAGATTGAAAGGGAAGGAAATTAGAACAGTAGAAAAAAGTGAATGAAACTAACGTATTGTCCACCATTTTCAAGCTTATTATCCAGCTTAAGGCATAATTAATGTTGTTCTTGAGCCGATTGGAGCACGACTTAAAGCATTTTTCGATGTTTGTCCACTGACAAGTTTTTCGCTATAATAAATGAAGAAAATAGATTTGTGTTACTGAATCATTAAGTTTTATTAATTGATTACTTTGAAGTCACAATTCAAAACTGAGCTACAATGTTATTGCCCTTCAAAATGTATATTGTGTAGGTTCTATAGGTTTGCTTCAAAATCAGTCATTAAAAACTGATTTGATTGGCGCTTAGCATCCAAGTTGTTTGGTATTGGATTCTTAGAGGACATTCTCATGTTGCTAGTATATAATCATGAATGCCTTCGAGGTATCACTCAAGTATGCTTGCATTAATACTGAGTTCATGCATAGGATACGAGGCCAATCGGTTGATGAAGTTAAATATCTTCGTTGACTTAGGTGGTTGGGACTTGTATGATGCTTGCTAGTGCAAGAGTAGGTTGGAGAAAACCTAGGGGCGGCCATGTAAGTACGTGGATAATACTTGATCGGGGTCTGCGCGAATATCGCGATCAATAGTTTAAAGTCACGGGTGATTTGTAATGGCGCATATGCACTTATTCTTTGTCTTCTTTAAGATCCAGAGTTTCTAAACTATTGTACACCGTTTATTCCAGAAACACATTTTTTCTCATCATGTCTTCTATGTTGAATGCTTCTTATCATCACTGACAATATTACTACTACTCTGCCATTTTGTGTGGCTTGGCAACTTAAACTAATATCGACCGTTGCTGCTACCTTGACGTGGTGGTTGGGATTTCCCATCGTAATCAACCGATCGAGCTACACTGGATGGAACAATCGTTGCTTGAGGCCCTACTATGCCAGACAGGTCGGTTGAAAAGCGGTAAGACTAAAAGGAGCAGTTCCAAGGTCTGAGGGCGAAGTCGTACTGCTAACTGTACAGAGGTATAATGGCAGTAAGATGTTTCCTTCAGGCAACCAGCATAACAGCGATGCTGCTTCCCCACAAGGAAGGGTGGTGTTAGAAAAGATCGACCCTAAAAATACACACCTCGCCTTATCCGACGGAGTTCCGTCTCCGGTAGTAAGGTCCCAACAAGTGCGGGGCTAACACGAAAATTACCCACAAATAGGTCGTATGTGACCGGCCTCAAGCAGGTGTCACTTGGGAACTCAGGTCAGTAAGAACTCCTCTAACCCGATTTCCTTTTCAGGTACCTCTAGAACAACAACATCCTCATAACTCTAACAGCAATCAAGATTGCTGTATTCATAATCAATCTCCCTTTTCAATTCCTATTATTCCTCCTACATCAACTTTCAACTCCCTCCTTATATGTCACCATGGCCAACGATTATAGTGCACGAAACACTGTCCCAGGTCTACTGAACGCTCGCTCCGAACTACACTTTGGAGCCTTCAACGTACACACTATGTTGAATCAGCCAGCTGGCCTCCTTGGCTAAAACCCTAGAATCTCGTACCATTGATGTATGTTGTGTCTCCGGAACACACATACAAGATCCTAGCATGGTCATACAGCTGAGCTCACCTCGGCAAAACGGAGAGCTGATGAGATGCACCCTTCGTGTATCTGGCGACCCGATGGCCAGTTCTCGTGAACTGGCAAGTGTAGACATAGTACCAAGTACGAGGGCAGAGCAAGTACTATTGGAATGGATCCCTGTTAACAGTTGACTATGTGCTGTTCGGCTAAACGGCTCCGTAAAACCTCGGAAGCAGAGGGACGCACGTCGTTGCCCGTTCGTCGTTTCTGCCTACGCTCATACTGACTGCAGCCCAGTGAAGTGAAAGATGAATTTTACAGTAAGCTTTCTGAACTTCAAGAAGCTAGACTCAGATATACTGCTCGTAACAGGTAACTTTAATGCTCATGTAGATAGCTTAAACCAAGCAGGAAGACATTTACGTGAATATTTTAGTATTCCTGCTCACCGAACAGATAATGGTGAACGTCTGCTGCAACTGTGCTCAAACAATCGTTTATCTTTAGCAAGCACTAATTTTAAGCATGAGAGGCATCGCCTAACATGACGACCCCCTGCACCAGAGTAAAATGGACTCGAATAGACCATATTGCCATCAGTCATCGTTGGAGGGGCTCGATAGGAGACTGCCGATCGTTATGGACTGCATGCTTATACTCTGATCATGTTCTAATACGAGCACGCATTTGCCTGCACCTGACTGGATGCAGAAAACCCACACTAAGAAGATCCATTGGAGTTGAACTAAGTGGTGAGAAAGCCGAAACTAGATCCCAGAAACAACTAGCGTCACACTTGGGTAGTTCTGAGAACCCAGATGTTGCTTGGAAAAATATACAAACAGCAGAGACATTGATCATTTGAATTGAGGGGTTACGAAAAACCAATGGATTTCTTCTAAGTTAATTGCACTAATGGATTCTCGTAAAGTCATCTTTATCAGACTGTGAACACGATGGAGAACGAAAACAAATCAGATCTAGGTCAACCAAAAGTCTAAGGAGCAACCGTGAGTAGTGGTGCGCAACGAAAGCAAATGAGATGAAAAAAGCAGTGTCTGTTGGTAACACAAGATAGCTTTTCAGACTAATAAAAGAAAATGTAATTATGTAGTCAAGTGTAAGACTATCTCGGGAAAAGACGACACTTATCTGCCCTCAGTCCAGACGTATGGAATGGTGGGCGGAAAATTTTAAGGAGCAGTTCAGGTGACCTTCAGCTACTCTACAACTACATATCATTCCCAAACACCCAAAATGGAGCATTGAAGTAGGTCCTCCGACTCTAGCTGAAGTTTAAAAGGCTATAGATAATCTGAAACGAGGAAGAGCATCTGGTCCAAATGGATTGGCTTCAGAGGTCTTTAAGGAAGGTGATCCAATTTTAGCGATTAGGTTGACTAATATTTTAGCTAAGATCTGGGAGTTGGACGTTATCCCATCTAACTGGTCACAATCACTTATCGTCCCAATATATAAGAAAGGGTCAAAATCATCCTGTGACAACCACAGAGGGATTAGTTTAACTAATATAATATCTAAAATACTAGCTTCGATAATTATCGGGCGGCTAACAAAGTCTCGTGAACCGCAAATACGAGAACGTCGGTTTGGCCTCACACCTGGTCGTGGCTGCTTCGACCACATATTCACTACTCGTCAGATTTTCGAACACAGGCATGCTTATCGGCGTCTGACAGTAGTGGTCTTTCTTGCCTTAAAAGGAGCATTTGACTCTGTAGACCGAGAGGTTCTGTGGCAGTGTTTATCGCTGAAAGGTGGATGTCAGAGGTAAATAAACCTTGTGAAATCTCTTTACCCGAACACTACTAGTCGGGTCAGGGCTTAAGGCGAACTGTCGTTTGCTTTTGCAACGTTAAGTGGTGTCCGTCTAGGCTGTCCACTATCTCTATTTTTGTTCAACTTCATCATAGACCTACTGAAGGAAATAACGCTCTCATCGACTGAATTTCCAGGCATTGATCTACCGGGAGGTAACACTTATCGGCTTAGACGCTGATATAATGCAGAGTCTTTTGGTAGCACTGAGCAGCAATGCCAGAATGTTCGGGATGCGCTTCTCCCCCTCTAAATGGAAGTTGTTGCTCCAGGACTGGCCTGCGTCAATACCTGAACTAAGGATAGGGAGTGAAGTAATCGAACGTGTCGACAACTTCGCTTAGCCTGGAAGTCTGATGGGCGGCTGTCTGACGAAACCTCTGCACGAATTCAGAAAGTTCGTTTGGCTTTTGCTAACTTCCGTCACCTATGGCGAAGGTGATATATCCGTCTGGCAATTAAGGGACGAGTATACTGCGCAGCAGTTCTTTTTGTTGTTTAGGGCTGCGAAACGTGGCCACCAAGAGTCGAAGATACTCGTAAGCCACTAGTATTTGATCACAGATGTATTAGAGATATTGCTCGCATCTGCTGGATTACCGGGTAAGTAATAGTGAGGTTAGGCGTAAGGCATTAGGGAATGATGGTAAATCAGTTGGTGAGGATGTGAATATTCAGGGACAAAGATGGTAGGACCGCGTGTTACGTATGCCTGAACACCGATTATCACGACGTGCAATGCTGACTAGTGTTGGAGACGGTTGGAAGGAAGTTATGGGTGGCTAAACCAACATGTGGCATCAGTCTTTCAAGTCACTAACTCGTGGCATGAGCCGTGTTAGTAAATTCAGACCACTTGGTTGAGGTCCACGCGACTATCGTAACTAATGTTTGGAGATTCTTGGTGTCATGGCTCAGAATCGACCACAATGGCATAGGTGTAAACAATCTTTGTTTTCCCTTAAACCCTGAGATTAAAATCGCTTTATACCTTTCTTTCTACGAACTAGTTCTTTCTCCCTGTGTCATGTCTGTAAATGAAATGATTTTTTACTATCATTGAAGTAACTGCTATGAATCTGGTGTTCGTCTTGTTGTGCTTACGAGGTGTGGCATCTTGGTCCGATGCATATATGTGCCTGGTCTTACGTTGTAACTGGATGACTGACTTAAACTAATGCACATATGTGTCAGGTTCCACGCGGCTTATAATTGACTGATGGAAATATTTGGAATTATACAGTGAAATGTATTATTCAGTTGGTATAAATTTACTTAGAAGCTAACATAGAAATACCCATAAAATGCCCATCAACTTAGTGAAAATCTATCTACCGAATATAATAAAATAAACAATTATTGACTACGTCCATATACTTCAGTGTGGAAGAGCAGAAGTAACAAAATTATTGTTTATTATACATCATGATAACTCCACTACGATAGAGAGCTATTATTCTTGGTAATTATTATAATCGAGTATAGTTACGTTCATGGTACCTATCTTAGATTCGAAGTGTAGTTAATGCAAGGAAGAGGTAAGTGGATTTCACGAGTGATAACACTCTTTTATTGACAGAGTATTCGTTTTGTAGGCTATTGTAATGCATGGTAGTTTTGTTTCTAGTAACAAAAAAAAGTTTGTGCATTCATTTGAATTTTAGTTTTGTTCATGAACCTATTCTGACCATTCTAATCTCGTGGCATAAATACTTATACTTTTATTGCACATGGTGTCGGAGTAATTTTTTGAAAAAAACTGAAGGTGAATGTCAATAAAATTGTTTATGACTATATTCGACAGCTGTGTTACACTATAAAATATAATTCAATAAACTTACTCTCCATCTGTCACTCGTTGGTCAACAGTGGTTACAGCTACTGTAGATGGACTAGCTGCTTTATACTGCAAAACAGAAAAAAAAAGTGATTGTTTTCATGACAGATTATAATATAAAAACAAGATATATTTAGAGATCGTCATTTAATCTACGTAACGTTTCGCAAAATATTTGAAATCAGAATTTAGATATGATTGACACTCAGATTTCGCAGTAGTAACATTTTCCGTGAAACAGTCACTAAGAAAGTTTACTCAGAGATCACCGTTTTCTTAGCCAATTTTTAAATAAATACAGTCATAAGTTTTCGAGATATGATCAGCATTAACCAGAGGAATAATGCGATGAAACATCTGAATCAATCACAGAACACAAGATCCTCACGGATGTGAATTATAAGTTATGGTTAAAAATACAAAGTCTCATGACCGAGTGGGGGATCTTACTTGAAATATTAGTTTTTTTAAGGATGCTAATTTTTTGTTAACTATGTCATACTTCGTCCAGCTAACTTGTCTGGACGAAACGTTGGAATTAGTTAAATTTCAATCGCTGAGAATATTTCAAATATAATTTTCACATATAATGACTTCTCTATACTCGGCGCTCAATTACTGTCAAACTATTCGTTCTAATCTTGACGAATATTCGTATAAAATATGTCATACTTACTTCTTGGAATTCTGATGAACTAACGTCAGATTAATTTTACAAGTTACGTTCCCACAAAAATGGGCTTAAAACAATTGAACAATTATATTACATTTAAAATTTATAAGCTAATGAACTTTTCGTCTTAATTATTTAGCCTAGTGAATATTCGTGGACACTAGATTACATCATCTTAGTGAATTTGATGTTATCAGATATACTGTTGACGTTTTTAAAAAGTTTTTCGAATCCATTTTGTTTTATAATGACAAAAGTGTCATCTACCTACCTAGACCAGGAGATAAGATCTGTTGACTACAAATGACCTTTTCTGGACTGTTTGATTGGAAGAAAACGTAATGATCGTTTAAAAATGATAATATTCCGAAAACCAACATATTCTGCGAGACATCTACATCACCCGTCAGCACATTCTCATTCCAGCAAAGTGACACTGACCAAGAATTTGATAAACAGAGTTCAAAAACTCATCACTAAACCAGATGACAAAGAAACTGAAATGAATTTAGTCGTGTCCACTTTGGTGATAGAGGCAAAATTCGACTCATACTTCCGCGTCGTGCCTCCTGGATAGTGAGACGAATGTCTCATGAACCAACGTGAGCGGTAACCCGGGTGGTGGAGATCGGGCTAATCACCCACTCAACCTATACCCACAACCTGATTACGAAAACTACAAAGAATCATTGCACAATTATTAGTGGTCCAAAAAAAGACAAAAAAATTCACAAAAACTAAAACTTGGTTTATGGAATGTCCGGGGTTGCTCTCAAGAGGGTAAGCTCCAACTGATTGCAGAACAAATTATCGAACGTAAGTACCACATAGCAGTGATTACGGAAACTAGGATGGTCTCCAAAACCACCAAAATTGATAAAAACACCACTTTCCTCAACTCTAATCCTGACATAAATGACTACCGGAACACTGGTGTCGGCTTCATCATTAATAACCAGTCAATGATTACTGCCACCAACTTTAAGGAGATAGATGGTAGAATAGCTACCATTAAAATACATAGCAAAATCACTAACCAGACTATCGACCTCATTGGTTGTTATGCCCCAACTGAGTCTTCTAATGATGATATCAGTAAAGAAAACTTCTATCTTAAACTGGACAGCACAAGTAAGAAACTTAAACTAAATAAACTTCCCATAATCATAGTAGGTGACTTCAACTGTAGGCTAGACCTGGACCTTCACGCTTACTACCCTAGTATCATAGGGAAAGCTATCAAGCTTGAACCAGAAACATCAACAAATGGCATGAGACTAATAAACTTATGCGAAACATTAAGTCTGCGAGTAATGATTACCTTCATTACTAAACCAGCTCATAAGACTTCCACCTGGGTGCACCCCAAGACCCAAACGGAACATATGATAGGCCTAGTGTCTGTGACATACACAACAGTCGATCTATGGAGGCTAAGTCTGATCACTACATGGTCACAGCCATACTTAAGCTAAAGTACTTAAATAATAAACAGTCCCCAAACGCTAATAAGAGACCCAGACGAAGACAACGTAAGGCGATACACGCCTAGACGTCGGATTATCCAAGTATATTAGATAACTTACTTTAAAATGAATATAGTCTAAGTCAGATAGAAAGAGCAATCATACAAGCAGCTAACAAAGCTGCAATCCCACATAAGTCGGCCACTAAAAGATGGCAACACAGCATAAGTGATCTCTTAAAGCAAGAGATAAAACATAGAAAATAGCTAAGATTGGCTTGGCTAAACAACCCCACAGCCGTTAATAAAAACCTCTATACTCAAGCCAGTAAGATTGTAAACAATAAGATTAAGTTAGCAAAAGACCAATATATCAAAGATGGAATAGATGAGATAAACTCTTACTTCAAGAAACATGACTTACACTTAGCATATAAAATGCTGGATGATATATTGGCTACTATTCGAAACCAATCCTATAGAACTAAAAGAACAAACCAAGTTAAAGATAGTGATCTTCAACATCACTATCAGAACCTATTTAGTGCTAAGTCGAAACTAAACACTACTCATCCATCCATAGGGATTACCCATGATCCTGAACTTACTCTAGAAGAAATAAAAGAAGGCTTAAAAAACATGAAAAACTAAACTACTCCTGGTAATAATGGCATCACTACTGAAATGATAAAGCATGGGGGAAGCAAACTCACTAAATATAATGAATAAAATGTGGAAAAATCCGTGCACAATGCCAGACCACTGGCTAGATGCAGACGTGATAAGCATATACAAAAACAAAGGATCAAGATCAGACCCTAATAACTATAGAAGTATGTTCCTGCTAGACACAATAGGAAAACTATTTGCAGGCATAGTCTGCAATAGACTGGTACAACTAACTGATAGATACCTCCCCATTACTCAATTTGGATTTAGGAAAGACTTAGCAACAACCCATGCCATAACGACATTAAGACACATCATTAAAACTACTTTAGATACAAACCGTACTATAGTTCTAACTTTCGTGGATTTAACTAAGGCCTTTGACACTATACCTAAACAATTAATCCTAGACACACTAAATAAATTATGCCCCTCAAAAATATAAACTACTGCATAGCTAAACTAATAGATAAACCTAAGGGCTATCTAAGAAACACAAAACTAAACTTTACAATGCACAGGGGAGTTAGACAGGGTAGTAAAGAAGGTCCAGCCATCTTCAACCTAGTCTTTCAAAGTATTTTAAAACATACAATAGATAAAACCTTAACAAGAATCGCCCTAAAAGATCAGCATAATAGGAATTGGACAATTAAACACTTAGAATATGCTGATGACTTATGTCTCATCACCAATACCACGGAAGAGGCTACCAAAGCCTTAAACCATTTACAAAAATACTTAACTAACATTGGTATGGAGATATCAATCTCCAAAACCAAAGTCATGATTATAAATAAAAAGGACAACATAGCAGCTGTCAAAATAGACAATAAGGAGATAGAGGAAGTAGAAACCTTCCACTATCTTGGCTCCACCATAAATAACAAAGGAACCCCCGACAGCGCTATAGCTCATAACATAGAAAAGGCTAAATCTGCAGTAATCAAAATTAGACTAATATTTAAATGTAAAGAACTCAGCCTTGGTACTAAAATCAAACTGGTGGATTCTTCAATAATCCCCATTCTCACATATGGACTAGAATCCATAGTACTAAGGAAACAAGATTGGACTAGACTAGAAACGGTTCTAAATACAATACGGCGAATGATCTTAGGCATATACGATAGAAAACGACTTAATGTACAGTAACTTAAACTAAAAGTAAACTTACCCAATTTAGCTAATAAAATCATGCAAAATAGATTAAATTTATGGTATACGGCACATAAAAGGCCAAATAACCTAATGGTGAGGTCTTTAAATAGTGAATTCGATAACCCATGCAATAATAGGAAGGCATACTAAAAACTGGCTAAGACAACTACACCAAGAGATTGAAGAAATGGGTGAACGACTACCTGAGGACTGGATATTACAGCCCAATAAGGTTAAAATCAACGCATATCAGGAATACTTCCCCAAAATAATAGGTAAACGTCAACTAGACTATAAATGCCAAAATAATGACTGCGATAGAATGTTCGCAACAGTCAAAGATATAAATAGACATTATAGAAATGATCATCAAAATAAACCCAGTAGAGTTTTACCCTACAAATGTCCCCTAAATGACTGTAATAAAACGTACAAAACTTTGGGCTGGCTTAATAAACACATTCAGTCGTGTCACCCACATCACAAATCACCAGTAAAAGAAACTAAAATCAAAATAACTAAAAATAATTCCATAAATAATGTAAATAGATGTCCATACCCTGGCTGTACTAAAAGTCTCCCAACTAAGAAAGGTATAATCAATCACTGCTATGTAGTACATAGATGGTCAGCAATCACCGGACAGGAAGTAAAACCAAAAACAATCTTAGGGAATTTTATAAATAGAATAATTAAGACAGAAAACCAAAACGATAAGGTGGCAGATAAACTGAAAGAAATAGTTAACACAGCAGCGGTTCTATATCATAAAGGGACTCTAGAAGAATCTTAAATCTTCAATTTTGAGGAGTAGTCTTCCGAACCAACAATACTCTAAGATCCGAACTGGTAAGAATCAAAGATTCAACACAAAAGAAGTAACAATAATATTGTGCATATGAGATTAAATGTATAATTGTAATGCTATATATGTAGATGCGACATCACGACAACTGAATGTGAGGGTGAAGGGACACAAACCTTGTTTGAAACACATTCCTCAGTCCTCAGATGGTATAAAAAAAAGTTGAAAACAAGTCAGTGATAGCATTAAACTCAATGGAGTTGCGTCATACAATTGATTTCGATGACTCAAGAATACCGTAAAAAGGTCTGACACCTCAGATCCGCTTACAAATGCATGCAGTTTGTTATATTAACATACTTTTTTTACACACTAAATGTATCAAACGGACTGCACCAAATTCTTACTTTCAACATTGTTACCACAAGTATAAGGTTAACCAGAGAACCATAGTACCTATTCATATTCGTTAATTTTGATGTTTGATTATATTGCCTTGAATAAGGTTGGACCATATTGCCGAGCGACACGTTGGTTTTACTTTAAATTCAATCACTGGTATTTTAGAAATACATTTTTCTTTCATGTCTTACATTTATTCGGTACCTAACTACTATAAAACTATTCATTCAAATGTAGACGAAGGTTCTTAAATGTAAATGCGATTAGTTCCAACTTCAGGTAAAATAATCATTCAATTCTGTCTCATCACCAGTACATTTTTTACTTATGACACTTTAAGGATAGTTTTTGCCACGGACTGGTAAACAATTCATGGCAAAGGTATACTGAATAACTACTTCATTATAATCTAAGACTTGTTTGTATCCAAATCCCATCCCACACGAGACTCATTGTTTAAAGACTGCTGAATAACATTTTCAATTTGGGATGGAGCATTATGATCATCTTATCTTTTCGTTGATAGATATCTCAGTCGATTTTACATAAATCTATTATTATTTACTTTAAAAGTTTTCAATTTTCATTCTAGTAAAACTCACCTTAATGAGTTTACGTTCTTCAGAGCCAAGTCGATAGGCATCGTAGTAAAATTTCATTCCAGCACCAAAGAATAAAAATGAACACGCAATTAGTAAAGGACCAGTTAATTCACCAATATCTAATGACAAGATTATATTCATGTAAACATGCCGTAAACATGTGATAAGTAGACCGATGAATAGTACCAGTAAGAACATTATATAAAATCCAACTGCAATCCAATATAGTTTTTTTGCTCGACCAAACTTAACTGAATTTATTTCTCTTTGGACTTTACGATCATGATGTTCAGCTTGTATTGTTGTTCTACCACTCTTATATGTTGCCAGAGAAGCCTAAAATTATCCAAAAAAAAGGAAAATAGGGTCTATTATCATATACAACAGTCCCTGAACGAGGTTATATTTTTTTAAGGTCAGAACGTAGAATGTTTCAAAAAGCCTAGTTAGCAGACAACGTGCAAAAGTCATTTGTACTATTATGACAGTCCTTAAAATGAACATAAGCGATCTTTGCCTTTTCTCGGTTATGTAATTCAATGTGTCTCTTCAATTTTACCAGTCATCTCCGATTTGATTAGTTTAATAATTTAAATGTAATCGTTTATAATAGACGCTGTATTTTGGAATATTATGAAATCCAAGTTCTACAGATGTTTGACATGCATTTTTATGTGTAGTTTTACACAAGGCAAATCAATAGTTTGTTATATCATAGATGTCCATAGTTTTCAAGTGAAACTAATCCGTAGTAAAGATCGACACAACACTTTATTCAAACGACTTTTCCGTTTTTATATTGTGGAATTGGATTTTTTCAGATATGGAAAACTGATTACTTTATCAGTATGAGATCGTCTCATTCTCTACATTTATTTTTATCGGACGCGTATGAATACTGAATGTGCAAAATCAAAGCCTTTAAATGTGATTGGCTCAGAAATAATAGACCAAATCCGTTAAATTTATGATGATATGGAAAAACGACCAGAAGGAATAAAAGAAAACAGCAAATTTGTAAGTGCAATAGAAGTCAGTGATCTCAATTCAAATCTAGAGTTTCAATGAAGAATAACTCGTCTAGTGGAGTTTCTTGGTTAATTTTTTTTAACTTGATCTATATCAAATTACTAACACTCTTAAATTATGGTCATTTTGAGCTGTATTAAACCAATAGTACCCTTACTATAATTCTAGGTTAAAACTGATTATGTGAGTGCTTTGCATTTATGCCTTTCTAAGAAATGCTGTGAAATTAATATACTAGCGGTATTGTCCAGGGTTCAGTAGTTTTCTTGTTTTTCAAAACGTCAGAAACTCAGTCAATTACTACAAAAAATAGCAGAGAGCACTATGAGTAACAATATTAATGATATTTCCCTGCTGCTTTAAAAAAACATCACTTTCAAGAGGTTAGAGTTGAAGTTCGATGGTTATTACAGTCTTTCAAAAATTCTGTCTTCAGAATATGACTGTTCATTGAATGAGAGCATATATTTGTTACCATTTGTTACTAAAGCCTCAAAGGTTTCAGGTTTTTGGAGGTGGTCTATAGAAAATCGTGGAGACTTCGTATTTTATCTATTTTTGACGCCGGATAGTGGCCATCTGGACTCGGTAGGTTGATGAATAGTGCTGTAGGATCTTAAGTGGTAGATACTGTGTTTGAGTCTCGATATTTAAAAAGGACAGTGGTATTTTTCCTCGCTGAGTAAATTTGTTTGTTTTGATCGTTTATTACGTATCAAGACTACTGTTTTCACTTTAATTGAATTTATTTCTGTTAAAGTATTCGACTAGAGTATCGTTTTTACTGTTCTCTCAATTAGTTTTGTCGTTGGTACTCTTGAGTACCTCTTTTTCAACTGTATCTGTTAGTACTTTTGGTCTTAGCAATCTACAGCTCTTCACTTTTTTGGTCATTGATTATTTTTTTGTTTCTGTGTATCATCGCATATTGAAAAAGAACCCCTTCTTAATGACCGGACAGTGTGAAAAAAGCAGTTGCCAACGTCCGGGTTGTCGTTATCCTGGTGAAAGCGGCATGCAGTGCGACGAGTGCAAAGGCTGGTACCACGAAGTTTGCACGAACTTAACGCCTGCTGCTTTCAAACGGTTCAGTAAGAAGGGTTGTGTATGGCTTTGTCAACAGTGCTGCTCGGATGCAAACAACTTGTTAACCGAGGCCATCCCACTGATTGATCCTGCAAAGAAGTGTTTTAACAAGCATAGTCGGAACGCGTCAAACAGCACTCGATCTGTTGACACGCAAATCAATGTGAAGGAAACTAAGGTGAGTCCGGTGATAGATGACTCACGCCCGTCAAAGAAGGAAAAGCAGTCTCCAAAGGGGCCTGCCTTAAAAAAAAGCTCAAGAAAAGTAGGGTCTTCTGTTCCCCGTCTCCCAGATGGGGTCCAACAGGAAACACCTAGAAGCCGCAATCGCAAGGCTCGATCGGCTTCAAGCGGTAAACATAACTTGACCTCTCAGGTCGTCGACAACCCCCCAAAATCCAACACTAGGTTTGACGCAACTGTTATTGCTTCGACCAGCTCAGTTGACGAATGGGTACAGGTTGTAAGGAAGAAAAGTAGGGATATAAAAGGGAACCCTGCCCCCTTAAAAGTGGTTGAAAAATCGAAAGCTGATCATAGCGACAGATCAGCTATTTTTCATAGAATTAAGGAGAGCGATAGCTCTGAACCTAAAGCTCGTTTTGAGCATGACATTGTACTGATTAGGCAGCTGCTTAATCAACTCATGCCTCAAAATATGACTGGGGTCACCTTGCTAACGGTATACAGACTAGGGAGTCTAGCGGACTCGAAACCAAATCATTCCAGACTGCTTAAAGTAGTATTCAGCTCTTCGAACGAACGTGACCTAATTTTACAGAATGGACACAAATTAAAGGGTTCAGGAGTCTTTATCCGGAAGGACCTACCGTTGGCAGACCGTGTTTAAAGACGGGAAGCCGAAAAAGAACTACAACTTAGGTTAGACGCTGGCGAAAAGGACCTGAAAATTGTAAATTTTCGGGTTGTAAGACTTCGACAGAGAATGATACCGAAGCCAATCTGGGTGAAGCACGAAGGCACTTAAACAGGCTTCGGATCTGTTACACCAATGCACGAAGCTTACTTAATAAGCGATCGGAACTAGGTGTACAGATTGACTCTACAAAGCCAGACATAATCGCAGTCACAGAAACCTGGCTGACACAGGCTATAGATAGTATGGAACTTGATTTCGAGGGTTTTACGTTAGTAAGGGCCGACAGAACACAAAAGCGCAAAGGAGGGGGAGTAGCTCTATTCATTAGGAATACTATCCCATTTGCCATTATCGATAATGTATCCCATGAGAGTGGGACGTGTGAATTAGTTAGTTTTCACCTAAAATGCAAGGGACAAGAGCTACTGATTGGTTTGGTCTATCGCAGTCCAAGCTGTGAGGCAAATGAGATCCTGTTAAGCAGTCTCAATATCTGGTCCCAAAGTGGTCGATTTCTAATCCTGGGGGACTTCAATGCACCTATGGTAGACTGGGAAAATCTGCGAACTAAATCGTCAGAAAATTCCTTCGAGCAGGAACTAGTTGATGGGGTTATCACATGTGCTCTAGTGCAACATGTGAAAGAAGCGACAAGGTACGATCCGGACACTGAATCATCCTTATTAGATCTTATACTGACTCACTATGAGGATGATGTTGCGAATCTCCATCATATGCCACCCCTAGGTAAAAGTGGTCACGCAGTTTTAACTTTCGACTTCCATATAACTGCCAGTCACGAGCACGCGTCAGTCCAGTCCAGACCCAACGTCTGGAAAGCAAACATACCAGACATCATGCACTCAGCATCGTTAATAGATTGGACAATAGACCCAGAGTCCTCCATTGAAACGGCCTGGGACGCATTTCGAAATTCATACTTAAAAGTCACCACACCTCACATCCCTTGGACTATACCAAAGGGGCCGAAAAACTCACCACCATGGTTCAGTAGGGAGGTCCGTATCCTTCTCCGTAAGAAAAGGAAAATGTGGGATAGATTTAGGTTACTGGGGACTGATGAGTCAAAATCTCAGTATCGAAAGGCTCGGAATACTTGTGCCTCGATCCTCCGTAAGTCTAGAAAACTGTACGAAGGAAAACTTGTTAAGGAATCCATAGAATGTCCTAAACGCCTGTATTCCTATATAAACCAAAGGACAAGGAGAAAAGGAAATATTCCTGCTCTATGGGGAGACAGTACTGCTTCATCATTAGTGGAGGACGACTTTGGTAAGGCTCAAGCGTTCTCGAACTACTTTAGCAACGTGTATACCATAGAAGCGCCCTTCTCGTCAGCGTATACAGATCCCCCCATACATACACTGGATAGCGTGACCATTAAAGAACTCGATGTCTTTGGTCTGCTAAATAAGCTTGACATAGGTAAATCCACGGGGCCCGATGAATTACATCCTAGGCTACTGAAGGAATTATCTAACTTCGTTGCAAGCCCTTTAAGTACATGCTTTAACCTATCCGTTACGCAGGGTCGCTTACCGAAAGATTGGAAAAACGCCATAGTAAGTCCTGTCTTCAAAACAGGCACGAAACACAAACCTGAGAACTACCGCCCCGTTAGCCTAACTAGTGTGATTGTTAAAATATTAGAAAAGATTATTCGGAAGGAGCTGTTTAAGTATCTCGATAAAAACCGGATCCTCTCGGAGAAGCAGCACGGCTTCAGAATAGGTTATTCTTGTCTCACTAACTTATTAGTGGCTCGTGAAAGCTGGTGTGCTCTTAAGGACCAAAAGCTACTTGAAGACGTCACCTTCATTGATTTCAGTAAAGCTTTTGACAAAGTTCCGCACAACCGGCTGTTATATAAGTTAAGACATGTCGGGATTAGAGGCAATTTATTGATGTGAATAAAGGACTTCTTAATTGGGCGTCAACAAAGAGTTCGGGTGAACTCAAAGTTATCTAGCTGGGAAACTGTGCTTGGTGGAGTGCCCCAGGGTACAGTTTTGGGGCCAGTGCTATTCCTCTTGTATGTAAATGACCTTCCTTGTCTCCTATCATCATCGGTCTTGCTATATGCTGACGATGTCAAGATATGGAGAACGATACGATGTAAGAGTGATAGCTTAGAACTTCAAAATGACCTGAAGAAGTTATCTGAATGGTCTCAAACATGGCAGTTGCCGATAAATACGTCCAAGTGTGTTGTGATGCATATCGGTCATCAAGGCACAGATACATACACGATGAATAACACTGAGCTACCTGTCGTCCAGACATATAATGACTTAAGAGTTATCGTTAGTCAAGACTTAAAGACTACTGCACACTGCCGTGCAATAGCCGCCAAAGGTTTTAGAACCTTATGGTCAATACGTAGAGCTTTTAGTCATGTCGACGCTAAAACGTTTTTGACTTTGTATACAGTGTTCGTTCGCCCTAAACTTGAGTACTGCATACAAGCGGCTAGCCCCTGCTTAAAAAAAGCAGTGAGCTTCTGGAAAAGGTTCAGAGAACGGCGACTAAGCTGATTCCCGGAATAGCGAAGCCTCCGTATGAAGTTCGACTGGCCAAGCTGAACCTTTTCCCGTTGTCATATCGCAGAACTAGAGGCGAATTGATTACAGTCTACAAATTGCTTAGTGATAAATTTGCACCTAATATGCCCTCATTTTTCTTGCCTTCCAAAACAGAGAATTTACGAGGACACTCCAAAAAAGTTCATAAGCCGAGAACAAATTACTTGTCAGCTGACTATCGACTTTCCCATCGAATCATCAACGAGTGGAATTCACTACCTCAGCACGTGGTTGAGGCTCCATCCGTCGACTCTTTCAAAAGAAAGTTGGATCAACTGAGAGACCACCATTGCCAGGACTAACATAGGCCATCGAGCCTCCTGTCCTTCTCAAACTGAAATTGATATGGGTATGACCGTTAGAATCCAGATACTTCCAGGTAACAGCACGAAACATACAGTCTAGACTCCACTACTAGCCATCACACAAAACTACTAACCCCTTGGTATATGTTCTGCCTGACGTAGGGATGACAAGAAACATGATACCAAATGGTCCGTGTTTGAATAAAAAGGACTGATAAGTTACTTGTTAGAATGAAACTATCTATTTATAAACATATTTATAGTGAAATCAAAGGCTATAACATTAATGCTAATCAAGAAATTCACAGTCTTAAGCAACATAAGTCCTATTCAAAAGTTCAGGAAAAAGAATAATGATAAAAGAATTAGGTAATTTTAAGAGATTAACAAATGCTAAAGTTTCAAAAAACAACTGACCAGAAAGATTTGAATAATAAGATAGAGAATGAGCTTACCAGATCTTTGAAGAAGCTCAGGGACCAACAGGCTATCCCATCGGGTTTATATGAAGTGATTAAACCAGTGGGAACTCATCTCCCGAGATTGTATGGATTGCCAAAGGTGCACAAAACGGGGGTCCCATTAAGACCTATTTTAGATATGTATAACTCTCCTTACCATACTATAGCTAAATGGCTGGTAACTGTATTGAAACCTCTACATGAAAAGCTTGTAAAATATAGTGTTAAGGATGTTTTCCAATTTGTTGATAAAATCAAAAACGCAAATACGTTGGGACTGAAGATGATGTCATTGGATGTAACATCGTTATTCACAAACGTCCCACTCATAGAGACTGTAGAATATATAGGTGAACAGCTGATAGAAAATGAAATTGAAACTACTGTCCCTATTAGCGTCGTGAAAGAGTTACTACTCAAATGCACCATGAATGTAAATTTCAAGTTCAACGGGGAAATATATAGACAAACTGATGGTGTTGCAATGGGTTCACCACTGGGCCCTATACTAGCTGATATTTTTCTAGCCAAACTAGAAAATGGTCCACTAAAAAAGATTATTGACAACTTCACATTTTACTGTAGATACGTGGATGACACATTCATCCTCTGTAAAGATAATACATCGCCCCAAGAGGTTCTTAGACGATTTAATGAAGTGCATCCAGCCATTCAGTTTACATCTGAAGAAGAGAGTGATGGCCGAATAGCCTTTTTGGACGTTCTGTTGACTAAGAGAGCGGATGGATCGTTAAAAAGGAATATAAACAGAAAGAGTACTTGGACTGGGCAGTATACGAATTTCCTGAGCTTTGTACCTCTACAGTACAAACGAAATTTGATCAAAAACCTTAGCTACCGTATTCGCACTATATGTTCTGCTGATATAGTCGAACAAGAGCTTACCACCTTGCATAATACTCTCAGGGAGAACGGCTACCCTAGAAAGTTTATAATTAAATATATGGTCACGAAGGCGAAAGTTGGCGAAATACAAACAGTGAAGAAGAAATCCTTGTTCATGCGTCTACAATTCAGAGGGGATGCGGCTAGCGAAATACTAACTCAGAGACTACGTAGGACAATACAAAAGTCTTTTAACGCCGGAGAACTGCGATTAGTATTTTCTACGCGCCCAATGGTTACACCGAAGCTAAAAGATGAATTACCTAGAATGACCACCTCATTTTGTATTTATCAGTTCAACTGCTCCTGTGGAGCGAGTTATATTGGTCGAAGTTCTAGGAATTTACATTTTCGTGCTCGTGAACACCTTCCGGCGTGGTTAAACAAAGGTTTGATGAAGAAGGTGAACAGCTCAATATTGGCCCATTTAGTACAAACTGGTCATAGTGCCAGTATAAACCAATCTTTTTCTATTATTTATAAGGTCAGTAATTTTTTGCCAAAACTGGTCAGACTGAAAGTCCTTCAAACGGCTGAAGCAGTAGCCATCCGAATGAAGAAACCGGAGCTATGCGTACAGAAGAAATATATTCAGCCACTCCTCCTCCCCTGGCCAACATCAAGGCCACTTAATCAATCGTAATCTTAACTATTGAATGACCCAATTTGACTATGACCTTTCTTAGTCAATTGTAATTGTCCCTGTTATTTTTATTCATAAATCTTTGTATTATTATTATTATTATTACTATTATTCGTACTATTGGTTAAATATCGTTAATCTCCCCTTTATATGATTCATTCACTTCGCATTCATTCATCCGTATTACGTCTTACTTAATTGATCGAATTGTAATTGCACTATTATTTCTCTCTCACCCTATTTGACCCATATTTATTCTGATCATGGATCTTAAAATTACATTTAACATATACGCAGATTCAAGTTAACATTCTATATGAGTCATATTAACATTAACAATTTTATTGTATTTTGTTTATCACAATCCTAAATTCACATGCTCTAAACGATGTACTTTACCCTTAACTTGGCCATTTTTCGGATTAATAATTTGGATATATAACTGTAGAACCTGAAGAGAATTTATCGAAACGAATATTCTTCGTTCAAATATTAGTCTTTTAAATGCTAAAGTGTATTCCAAATAATAGGAACTTTATTATAAATATTAAAAAATAGAACATAAATAAAGATTCGATAAAAGCTTAAATTAAAATCCACAGAACGTTTTATGGCAGGAACTCTGATGTCAAAAGTCTCAATAATGGTTATCAGTCCTCTTTTACGAATGCAAGTGATAAAACAGGCATGCTCAAACCAAATTATCTGAAGCAGTTTTTAGATTTGATTAAAAAGTGATTACTTTAGCCACTAAGTCGCTGTTTCTAATGTAGAACATCTCTTGCGGAAACCCTGAATGCTAGTTTCACCAAGCGTCTGATTAAGATGGTTGGACTGTATAATTATTTCTGTGATATATATATATATATATATATTAAAATTGAAGTATCAGATGAAGTCCTTTTATATTTTGAAACGAGGAAACCTTTCCTGTTTTACCCTTAGAAAAAGTCATGACATTCTTAATTACCAGTGCTTATGTATAACCTTTCCTGTCTCTAACAAATTATTATTACAGTTACATTTGTTTAAGTTTAATTAATCTCATTTTGCGGAGCATTTAGGAAATATGATAATTTTTTAACTGCTTGATAGCTTACTTTGGAAGCTTTTAAGCTTCTTGACATTCTAAAATGACTAGGAGCGTAGAGCGAACGAGTACCTTGAGTTGACTTTGCTAATAATACCGATGGCTGATAACCTGAAATGCTACCAGTTCTACTATTGTTATTAGTCAAAACAGTCGATCCATTTTCGACAGTCTGCATATTTGATGACATATAAACGCATGGATCCATTTGCCTTGTACTCTTTATTATATTTTGGTAAACGTTTCCAACTGAACCAATTTGTGATCTGGATTTAGATGATATATAAGATCCTGAAACAACAGATCCTGTAGGTTCTTGATTCATGGACTGATTTACAGGACGGATTGAAGTAGTTGGTGGAACACGTATAGGATCACTGGAACGTAATGAGGAAGAGCTACCGGTTCTACCCAAACTATTCAGCCTTTGTTGTTCATACTGCATGCGCGTTAAGTGACTCGTCATTATGATCAGGCGTCAACTTGATTATACTTTATGACACTAAAATTTTAATAGTAAAAGAATAAAATAAGAGATGAAAACCTACTAGTTCTAAAAGAATTACGTTTCTTGTGTGAAAGTCTTAGTATCTACCCGAAAACTATGTATAAACAATATTTTAGCTTTAAGAGCTTATAGATGAGTAGGATACCTAAAGACTGAGCAATGTAACTGTTCTTTTTAAAAAGATTGTTTGAACATCAACCTCCAAATCAAACTGAACACAAGTAGCAATTATGAATAATTAGACCATACCAATTTTTATTCCATCTTAAAAAAAGAAATGCTATCTATGAGAATGGCGTTGTATAAGTAAGTGCCGTCAACATGTATGAGAACGCACGAAGTTATACTGGTTTTAAACTATTCCTTGTTCAAATTCACCAGCAAAAAGACACATCATTCAGTGACAAATCTGAAAATAGATGTTGATTGACCAGTTGGATAGTTTATGAATCTCAAAATTGTGGTACATTTGAAGCGGCCGGAAGAAAAGGAAAAATTACACTAAAGTTTAACTATTAGGAACAATCAAAGTTTGAATGAATAGTTTAAGCATGAAGGTAGAAGTTAAACTTATTGAAAATAATGTATAATAGGATTATATTTTGCTGGCTGGATAACTCCACTTCAAAATCTGAAGCACTTAGGGGACAAATAACGTTAGAGAAGAATAGAAAAGTGAAAATAATTTACAGGTTAAAGTGACGTAAGATAATTGTCCAGATATAAAGAAAAACATAAAGGTCATGATAATAACTGAATATTATTCATTATAATATCCTGAGAAAAGCAGAAATAGTTCCAAAAAACTTTTTATGAATATCAAATTTGAAGGAGATACAGCTGCTGAAACTTTGAATAAACGGATTTCAAAATCCATGAGTAAAACTTATTCAGCTAGTGTTCTGAAATGCATTTAGAAAGTGACAGCTTTGTGAGGCTAATGTGATTTCCCCCATAGGAGCAAGTAAATTCGTAGATGCACATGGATGTGGCCCAAAGCGAGAGTTTATGCTTAGCAAATCCGTGAATGGTAGGTAGGCTTGAGAAGATAATACTGAGATTAGCTCCATAGAAGATTTTACTCATGGATTTTGAAATCCGTTTATTCAAAGGTTCGGCAGCCATATCTCCTTTAAATTTGACATTCACAAGAAGTTTTTCGGAATTGTTTTTGCTTTTCTCAGGATGTTGTTATGATTATTATTCATGTAATATTATGACCTTTATGTTTTTCTTTTTTCTCCATATCTTTCAGGAGGACAATTATTTTCGTTCTTCTATTCTTCTCTTACCCCCTCAGTCAGTCAGTCAGTTACAACGTAGAACCAGGCACATATCTGCATCGGCCCAAGTTGGCATACCTCATTAACACAACAAGATGGACACCGGATTCTCTCACCCCCCCTGATTATTAAGCAACTTTATTTGACATATAACTTTATTCTACAAGAGGAATCGACGAATTTTCAAGTGGACACCAGTGAACTCTTAGTTTATGGACATGAAAATGTAATCAACCTACGAAACAACCATCACTATTTTTTCACCACAGGTAGCTTGTATTGAAGACAAACAACTAAAAATTCATAATAACTAGCAATTAACTTTAAAACCGTGTCTCATATATCATGAGCAATACTTAAAGTAAGCATTATATTCTCTTTGGTATTTCCCACATTACTTACTTACTTACGCCTGTTACTCTTCGTGAAGGAGCATAGGCCGCTCACCAGCATTCTCCATCCAACCCTGTCCTGGGCAATCCTTTCCAGCTCCTTCCAGTTGTAATTCATCCTTTTCATATCTGCTTCTATTATCCGACGTAATGTGTTCTTTGGCCTTCCTCTTTTCCGCTTCCCTTCAGGATTCCAAGTTAGGGCTTGTCTCGTGATACAGTTTGACGATTTGCGTAATGTATGTCCTATCCATTTCCATCGTCTTCTCCTAATTTCCTCTTCAGCTGGAAGTTGGTTTGTTCTCTCCCACAGAAGGCTATTGCTGATGGTATCTGGCCAATGGATGTTGAGTATCTTGCGTAGACAGCTATTTATAAATACTTGTACTTTCTTGATTGTGGTTGTTGTAGTTCTCCAAGTTTCAGCTCCATACAGTAGAACTGCCTTGACGTTCGTATTGAAGATTCTCACTTTGATATTGGTTGAAAGTTGTTTTGAATTCCATATGTTCTTCAATTGTAGGAATGCGGCCCTTGCTTTGCCAATCCTCGCCTTTACGTCTGCATCTGAACCTCCTTGTCCATCGACGATGCTTCCCAGGTATGTGAAGGACTCTACATCTTCCAGAGTTTCGCCATCAAGTGTGATTGGATTGCTGTTCTCCGCTTTGAATTTGAGGACCTTCGTTTTCCCTTTGTGTATACTGAGGCCTACTGATGCAGAGACTGCTGCTACACTGGCTGTCTTCATCTGCATCTGTTCGTGTGTACGTGATATAAGAGCTAGGTCATCTGCGAAGTCCAGATCGTCTAATTGGTTCTGAGCTGTCCATTGTATTCCGTGTTTTCCTTCAGATGTCGAGGTCTTCATAATCCAGTCGACCACCAGAAGAAAGAGAAAGGGAGAGAGTAAACAGCCTTGTCTGACCCCGGTCCTTACTTGGAATGCATCTGTCAGCTGTCCTCCATGCACGACCTTGCACTGTAGTCCGTCGTATGAGTTCCGGATAATATTGACAATCTTCTCAGGAACTCCGTAGTGTCGAAGAAGTTTCCATAATGTCCTCCTATCTACACTGTCAAATGCCTTTTCATAATCAATGAAGTTGATGTATAGTGACGAGTTCCACTCAACCGATTGTTCGACGATGATCCGTAGTGTTGCAATTTGGTCTGTGCACGACCGATCCTTACGGAATCCAGCTTGTTGATCTCGAAGTTGAGCGTCTACTGCATCCTTCATCCGGTTCAGCAAAACTCTGTTGAAGACCTTCCCTGGTATTGACAGTAGTGTTATGCCTCTGTAGTTTTCACATTTGCTCAGATCTCGTTTCTTTGGAATCTTGACGAGGTGCCCTTCTTTCCAGTCCATTGGCACTTGTTCCTCCTCCCAAATCTTTTTGAATAGAGGGTAAAGCATGCTTGTGGTTACTTCGACGTCTGATTTCAGTGCTTCAGCTGGTATGTTGTCGGGTCCTGCTGCTTTCCCGTTCTTGATTTGTCTGACGGCCGCTCTAATTTCTTCCGTCGTTGGTGGGTTGACATCTATAGGAAGATCTGTGTGTGCTGCTTCGATGTTCGGTGGATTCATAGGAGCCGGCCTATTCAGGAGTTCCTCAAAGTATTCTACCCATCTGTTACGCTGTTGTTGAATTTCAGTGATTCGCTTGCCTTCCTTGTCTTTGACCGGCCTCTCTGGTTTATTGTATTTCCCTGCTAGTTTCTTCGTTGTATCGTAAAGTTGTCTCATATTTCCTTCTCTAGCAGCTTTTTCTGCCGTCGTTGCTAATTCTTCCACGTATTTCTTCTTGTCAGCTCTAATGCTCCTCTTCACTTGCTTGTTTGCTTCTATGTATTCAGCTTGTGCTTGGACTTTTTCTGCTCGTGTTCGGCTGTTGTTTATTGCTGCCTTCTTGTTCTTCCTTTCTTTGATCTTGTCCAGTGTTTCTGTAGAGATCCATTCCTTATGATGGTATTTCTTTAGACCGAGAACCTCTTGACACGTTGAAGTTAATGCTTCCTTGATGCTTTTCCAGTTGTCCTCCATAGTAGTTTCTTCTTCTTTCAGTAGATCTTGTAAGGCTTGGAACCTGTTGTTGAGAGCTATCTTGAATTCATTGAGTTTGACAGTATCTCGAAGGAAGGCTGTATTGAACCTTTGTATTGCTGTTTGTCCACTTGTCCAGTTCTTTTTTAGCTTCAGTTTCAAATTGGCTACAACTAGGTGGTGATCTGAAGCTACGTCAGCTCCTCTCCTGGTTCTCACATCTTCCATTGTCCTTCGGAATTTTTTGTTGATGCAAATATGGTCTATCTGGTTCTCTGTAGTGTGGTCCGGTGAGATCCATGTAGCCTTGTGTATACGCTTGTGTGGAAATATTGTGCCTCCTATGACTAATTTGTTGAATGCACACAAATTTGCAAATCTTTCTCCATTTTCGTTCCTCTCTCCCAGTCCATGTTGCCCCATAATATCTTCATATCCGATGTTGTCTATTCCGACTTTGGCATTTAGATCTCCCATTAGAATGGTGAGGTCCTTTCTTGGGCATTTCTCAATGACTGACTGCAGCCGCTCGTAGAACTGATCTTTAATGTCGTCGTTGCTATCATTGGTGGGTGCATAACATTGGATAATATTCATTAAGATCCCCTCCTTCTTTGTTTTGAATGATGCTTTGATGATTCTGGATCCGTGGGATTCCCATCCTACAAGTGCATTTCGTGCTACTTTGGACAGCATTAGAGCAACTCCCTGAGTGTGTGGAGCATTTTCCTCTTCGTGACCGGAGTATAGCAGCATCTCTCCCGTAGCTAGTCTTTTCTGTCCAGCTTGGGTCCAGTGAGTTTCGCTGATCCCCAGTATTTCCCACATACACCTTTATTTTACGGGATTCTAAGTTCCGGAGTATTAGTGAAAAATCCAAATCGGAAATCCAATTACGATGAATCCGCAAAACGATGACAAAAAAATGAGTATAAGAATAATTTACTAAAATTATTTTTCCTAGGTTTAACTAAACAGTACAGAGACAAATCTTTAAGCCGTTGGAAATGTTCTTAGGTTTTTTACCGAATCGGATTTTCGCAATAAACTTCATAGGTTGTTTTTAGTTTACTGTGGTTAATATGGTGAAGATTGCGTTTTATTGTGTATAGTTTTACTGTGACAACATCGACTAAAGTTTTGGGGGACAAAATACTTAAGCATCATCTACAGGAATCTGAAGATATTGTCGTTATATTCATAATATCCTAAAAGTCATAAGTTTTAGTAATTATTGTAAAGAAGACAGTTAGGTTGACCTAGTCCATTCACAAAACAATCCATCATTTGCTTGTTAAAAATTTACGCGGCTTTTTTATTTTTACACATATACTCTTCTGTTACTATTGTCTGTACTATATAATCTAATATTATAATGTTTCTGTTATGTTATCATTCTTGTTTTTTTGTGTTTAAACTATTATTTGGGACTTTATACATACAAACGATTGTACAGCTGCATTATCAACTTCTTAAAAAGAGATCCATTTGCTGAATTTCGTTCTTTTATTATTCAAAAATAATGCGTCAACTTAAGAACATTTAATCTGACCACAAATCGCTAGCATCACTACAAACAAGCAAATCTGTAGAACTAGCGTTATTAAAAGGTTGTAACGTAACTGTATAATACTCTGCAAAGGGTTGCTTAACTTTGAGTCAGGTCTCACAAGCGAATACCATTATCTAAATCTTGCTAGGTTGACTGTAAAATTTTAGAATAATAGTCATGATAAAATAATCTCAGAGCCTCTTGATGAGAACTGTCTGCTTTTCAGCTGCTATCAAATAGCAAGACCACTTTTAACCGATAAACTATGGAGACTGATAAGGTTTGATTATTTAAATGCTGAATCAACGAGCCAAACGTCATATTTAAAACAATCCGGCTAAAGAAACAAAGCAAACAATTGATAGGAGATCAAAAAACTTGCATACCTTTCATTTTTCGACTTATCAAACATCTGTGTTAACAACTGTTTTAGGAGAACTACGTACAGTTTGTCTTTTGGCACTGATACTTTAGCTTACAACTAAAAAGCTTTATTGACCGGACGAATGAACGTGAAAATTTTTTTTGTTCAATGGATTCACAGCTTATGGTACTAGTTAGTTACAAAACCCATGCATACCAAATATTTGCACACTTTCTTTACTGACTATATTTGGTAACTCTTAAAGAGCCTGTTGGGATATTCAGAAGAATATCCCAAAAATTACCCTGTTAAGTCTAATGCTATCCTTGGACTTGAAATGGTATCATTTTTCTATCGTTCAGTATTTGTTTCACGTATCATTTTCCTGCTGGCCAGATATTGTGCAACTTTTTTTTCTACTTTATGGTACGATGTGGTCTGCATAATTGGTATATAAACAGAGTATGTTTGAAATACATGATTCATATCGCAGAGGCTGAGACTTGTGTTCTGAACTTAACTGGCTGGGCTAGGCAGGAAGCAGGGCCGATCAGGACTCTAGGCTGCTCGCAGGCGTTTTATGCGTCACTGATCCGATCGATAATCCACTGCTCTCTAATCGGCAGTCACAAGTTATTAAAAAGCTCCTGATAAAGTATGATTATTTGAGGCTGAACTGTTTGCATTTTCTAGTATAGGGAATTTTGCTAATGAATGAGCAACGTATCAAACCGAAATTCAAAAGAAAATTTCATTATGGCCTTAGTATAGCGTTATTGGTGTTTTTCTCCTGCTTCATGAGTCAAACAAAACTAATTTTGTATGAGTAACAGAAATGCTGTTGTCCCAATATTTCTCCGATGATTTTTATTCACTTCTGTGTCAGCATTACGCCTTAGAGTTTTTAAAAGTCCTAGTTATTGTGGCATATTGTACCATGTTACACTACACTACTGCTACTTCAAGCCTACGTAAAAATAACAAGAGTAAGCTTTAGATGACATAAGAAAAAAACAGTTTCGCACTGTACAAAATAATATATTAAATATGGGAACGTTTGAGATTTATGTCGGAAAAATGGACGAGATTATGAGGAAGCACTATTTATTTATAAAGATGGGAATATTAATGCTTCGCCATTTTACTGGTAGTGTATTAAATTCGGTGTGTCCTGGGGCACCACGAGATATATTTAGATCTGATCTTCACTCAATTCTTCAGGACTTTCGATGAAGTCTCATATATAGAATTGTTGTATAAATTAGCGACATCGCAATCACATACAACTCGCACTCGTAAACAAATGACTTAGTAGCCGAAAGTTGACAGAAAGTACGAGCCAACTTCAAGCTACATTAGTAATAAACAGTGCTTAGAAAAAATCTTCGTAGTATAACGTGGAGTACGTGTCAATTAAACCCTCCAAGAGCATGATGACGAGTATCTGCCGGAAATAATTACGTGTTTAGTAATCTAAAATCACCTTAGGTAGACACAATGATCGAGTAGTTACTGCTGGTCAAGGTCTGAAAACCACTGGACACTTTCGGTAATGTGTTAATTCCTGGACCTATCGAATAAATAAAAACACTTGCTTACCATAAATATATGTATTTAATCGCATTTATACTTTTAGTTCTGAATAGTGAATCCAGTTGATGATACTTTTGAGAGAAAAAGAGAAAGTAATCTCGTTGCAATCCTCAAACTATTTACTTTTTTGTACTTTATACCCCACATTCTTCTCTAGGAACGGAAACGATTTGAGGAATCAAAAAACCGTCGACCGTTCAAATACTTACTACTTGTCACATCCAGGTGTTGATGATCGTAACTCTGCCTTAACATGCGACCATAACTCTTTTAACGGATATGTACTAATAACAGTTAAAATAACAAAGTCACCCTCATTATCAGGACTATCATATACTATTTGGTCTCATATCTTACTCAAAATAGATAATGCAGTTGATAATACGGCGAGCGAAACGTAAACCTGAAATAGAATGTGATGAAAATGGTTGATGAGAACTGTCTAGAATGGTGTTTTATAGGTTCCCCCATTTTTATAAGCCCATAAAGAATTCACATGAAACTTCAAAAATCTGATTTAATGCAGTCTTCGTCATTCAAGTTGTAACGCATAGGTCGCTATACAGATGTCAAAAAACAGAATAAATTCAAAGTAATATGATTAAACTATTTCATCCAAGTCACTTCGTATTATTATAAAATCCGCTAATTAGCGAATTTCGGGTTTCTAAAGTCTTATGGGAGAATATGACACACAGGATGCATAAAACATGAATAAATGGTTGAAATCGAGTGACTGTTTTGTCTATCACAACAAAAAATTTTTCGCTATATTTATACAACGGAATTTTTTCACATTCTACTAAAGAATTACCTTCATGCATGTAGTTAAGTTATAATTAAAAGCAAAAGTGACTGCAAAACAGCTGTAAATATGAATTGCAAAGTAAAAATTCCGTTAATATTTTAACACTCACTAGTAACATCGTAACTATGACTAGTACTCTGGGACATTGTTACTAACATAAGTACTGATAAGTAGGCTGAGTAATTTATAATTCGACAAACAGAGATATTTCTTGACGTTTTTAAGTCTTAAAAAGAGTTCATAATAACTCACGATGTTCTTTTAATTCACGTGCGACACCAGTATTTACATTGCTTCCGTACTGTCATCTTGAATGTCAATCCAAACATTGACCGTCCTCAAGGACACGTTTGAAAGATTTCAACACAATACTTTGAACTTCAAACATTGTGAAGTAATATAACGAACGAGTTGGTATATCAGTCGAATTTTGATGCGCGCAGTTATACGTATTCTGCTTTTACTAGATGATAAGTGCTATGTATAACGTCGCCTGGGATCCCTCCGAAGGCTACTGCCGGTCCCAAGCCCGGAAAAAGGAGGAGGGTTGGGCATGCGGTTAGCGACCCCATCCCGTGGTAAACTAACTACCTAAAGAAACGCTAACCAGAAAAAATTACTCAAACCTGTCAAAGTGCTATGTATAGCCCTGAGTACTATAATAGGAGTACGTTTATTTATCTATCGATCTGACTCCATTTTGGATGTCCTGTAGTAGATGTCCCGTGAACATAAACATTCCGTTTGATTACGGATTTTGTACGTAAGCTTACCTCGTTTGAGAGAAAGCGGTAATAATGAGCCAAATACGGATTGGCTAGAAAAGTATTATTCCGGACGTAAAAGTGAAATGGGCGAACGAAGCATGGAAGACAAGAGTAACAACACACTTATACTACTCATTATAAGCGCTAATAAAACTCCATACGAATAATCCATAGGGTGACATATAGACGGTCATTGAACAGAAGTACGAGTCACAGATATACACTCAACGCAAAATAAGCGTAGAATAACAAGGATATGAATCTAAGATGTATATGTGTGAAAGCCGCAATTTCCCATGGAAAGAATAGAGACATAATGGAAGCTAATAGTCACATGCTGTTTGAGTTTTGAAAGTCAGCTTAAAAGCTAGGATGAAACATATAGGCGCATAGTAGCATTGAACACTACATAACAGGCCGGTAAGATTTTGTGCTGGAATTTGAAAAGACAAACAATTTCCTACAAATACTATGAACGTTTTTGCAAACTTTGTGAAAATACAGGTTGTAAAAGCCATTCTTTATGAAGAGGCTCTTACTTAATATATTCTTGGTTTATTACTCATTCCCATCAGCCTTCCATGTTAAGGATGATATGTTGTTTAACCTGTGTTCAGTATTGGACCGGTTTCATCTCGAAAGTGCTGTTTGGTGGAACTGATATTGTAGTGGGAGCCACTCTGCTGTGTTTCATAGTCAAATAAATATATGCCGGATCTTGTTTATGTATATTATTAGTAATCACACTGATACTTAACAGGTGGCGAGAACTACTTCTGGATAGAAAGTCATCAATGAGACATTTAAACTGTGTTATGGTGTGGTAAACAGTGTTTACAAGAGTTTTTATAAGTCGTATATGGTGGGACGTAGCGTTGAACTCGCAAAAGTCGTCAGACTGTGTGAAGAGTTTCAGTTCATCGAGAGAACATTTGAGTACCAGAGAAGACAGTTTGAATGGCAAAACATATTGAAAGATGAAAATGGATGGTTGTAGGCTATGTATGCCTAAAAATTAGATACTTCGTAACTTCCCTTAACGAATATGCCTTCCTCTTGTCTCTTTCTTCTTTGCATTTGGTTTCTGCTGTCAAGGTCGAGTTGAGAGTGCTCTGGCTATATCCATTTGCAGATGGAGATATTGGAAACAGCCTCAGGAGGTTTGAGGTCACAATGGAGCTAATCGTTATGACGTAGCTGCGAACGAAAGTGACAGTGTTGGAAGCAGTAATGATTACTGGGGTTACGATGGCTTTTAGCTGAGTTGCACTTGTGGACGAGAAAAAGTTTTGGAATATCATCACTTCTCGGATACCGACGAAGTTTGAGAACGCAGCTGATCGGCATGTGACGTCTTAGATGTTCAGAGACATTAGTCTCGCACCAAACGGAAATCTGCTTATATTAGCCTCTTCGTCGACTGACTTGTTACGCCGTTCGTTACTGTCATTGTACAGAAAATGAAAGTAGTTATTGCCTTTCCAACTCCTCAGGAGTGTCACTAAAATTGTAGGAAAACAGCCTCAACTGACGAATGCAGTATAAATTATGAATATCATAGAAATGACTAGAGCAGCTTGAGAGCTGACGAGCTTAACCGTATCATTGTTACCAGACAACAATGAGCCATCAGTCTCCGTAGGAGAGTATTTTGGGGACCTACGACGAGTGGTGGAGATAAGAAGAGGCACGTGGGTGAATGATGGATGCTCTGAGTGCGAGAATGTTGGACACTGCTGGAGCAATTGCGCATGAACTCGGTATCATTAGTTATTTAGACGTTACAAAATGTACTTTATCCTTAGAAAGACTATTAAGATCGTCGGGTTAGTCGATAGGAGAAGAATGTAAAAAATTGCGGTTGAACAGAGATTCGTTTACCTGGCACAGGCGTGGCTATATCTCCAAAATACGAAAGACACTGTAAAAAGATCAGGCCGTGTACGTTGTCAATACAGAATTATATTCAACGAAGACGCAAAAGCCTGTAAAATCATAGTCTATGCCCGTTATTAGAATTGCTATAATAATAGATCTAATCCTCAAATTATAGATACGTCACGTTAAGACTACCTAGTTTAGAATGTATGATGTGTAAGATAAATCATTTACTTAATTGAAAATCTGTATCGTCATGACTTTATCAAAAGAACAAAAATAAATTATGTCGTTCCAAATAAAGATTCTAGCAGAATAGCATGAATTGAGTTTATTTCTTAGGTTCTCGTCAGCTGCTTACAACGTGTGATATTTAAAAATCGTAATTGCATAATGGGTTCAAATTGCTTACTGAATATTGTAAATATATACCTAATGTGAAAGAATATTCTACAACATTAACTGTGACAACAGTTCAAAAGTGGGTTAGAAACAATTGATTACATAATGAATAACAATGATAGGAATATAGTGAGTAAAACTCAGTTGAAAGATTATTAATTTGAAAGATTGTTGAATAAAATCAATGATGTAATAAATGCAAAAGAAAAAAAAGAAAAAAATTCTAAGGTGCAGTGAAGGAATATTTGTCACCAGGGCAAGGAACGATTTGTAGAATTATGGTCTACTATGATATTAGTACTGCTCTAATAATAGACCTAATCCTAAAATTGTAGATTTGTCATGATATAACTGCCTAATCTATAAGATCTTACGTGGAAGTCACACCATCGACTACACCAACTCACTGTATCGTATCAATTACCAATACATGATGTAGAACAAGGTTAGGCTAGAGAAAGAACATTATATTTAATATGGATAGAAGATATAAAGTAACATTGAGATGGACCACGCCTGCATGGACAAGCCATGCCATCCGATCAAACCCAGTCCATTCAATTCCTTATTCGCGCCTTCTCCATTGTTAGGTATTCCTCCGCGTTAAATATTGAATATCTATTTTCTGAGTAGTCTCGTGTTCACAGCTTTGTGGATTGTGTGGCTATTGTCCAATGTCACTACACTACTCTCCCACCAGAATCAACGTGATGTTTGTTCGATACCAAATTGGATGGGATCGTCGCGCGCCGTAGGTTACCAAGGGTAATAAGAATCCTTCGGGTATTGGTAAGCTGAAAGATAAATCAAATAGAAGGCGGCAGCATCTGGTCGGGAAATACATGTAATAATTTTTAAAAAAATCTGCCTCCATGCTTAGCACACTTAAAATGACAATTTGGGTGAAGATCATTTGAGCTATAAAAAATGGGATTACAGTAATAATAATAAAACAATGCGTGTTAATAGCCGTTGGTTAATAACTTGACGTATAGGTAGTAAGTATTTTGTGTTTAGAAATATTAAAGTAATGAATATTGTAGAAATGTTAATATTGGTATTAGTTTTGGTTTAAATTATGAAACCAATTAACAATTATGCCGGTAACCCGTCCATACATGATTTCCAATTGCATCTATATTAGTAGGCTAACTGGAAGAACAAAAGTATTAACGTGGAGAAGAATTCCAACTAGTGTTCCAGTTAGTTTGATACGGTTTATTTAGTTACGGGGAGATTTTCTCAACCTCATTTTTACTTGACCGTGATAGAATTTAGTAATACTACTAATACACATGAATGTTTATCAAAACAAAATTTAAATACATCAGTGATGATTATATGAATTTTGGACAGACAGCTAGGAACAAATCGTTTAACATGAGTGTATTCGTATGAGACATGCTCTAGACTCAATGTTCTGATCTGTGGCAGACTATTTATTTATATTTATACTTGTCGGCTGATTGGGCATACAAGTTAGTTGCAAGTATGCAGTTTATCATAAGGCGGAATACGATTTAATTGAGATATAGTAGTTATAAGTTATTGAAATCAGTTAATCCTGTGTCATATTACTAAGTGATGTGGTGCTGCAAGATGTATTTAGCTAAATGAGTTTTTACAAGATGATTAATAGTGAGTGATGCTCATGTGATTAACAGGGAGAACATAAGTTGTGACCAGGGGGAGTATACTCCCAACTCATGTCTATGATAATGGCTTGAACCTTAGTCAGTGTTGGGGTAAATTCGACATTGATGTTTTCAGTTTGCAGGAGATTTGCTCGACTGCTTATGTTGATTATTTGCATGCATGATTGTGTCGCTAAACCATCAATTAGACTGACAAGGTTTTGAGATATTTACTGAATGAGCAACTGATAGAGAAACATACTGTAATCATCTGTAGTGAATGAAGATAAAAGAAAAACAACACTAGTGATAATTATAAGTCAATTTGCTGACCGATGTTGTTAATAGTTTCCTTAATTTTATCAATCATATTACGTGATTGTCAAGTCATGACAATGCTTTATGACGATATCCTGAAACTATTATGTTAAACTAGTTATAGTGTTGATTGAGGATTAGTCAGTGGAAAAATAGGTATTGTTGCTTTAGGTGATTCGAAATTATCAGAAATTTATAACGCTAAAGAATCCAAGACGCCTAATTTAATTATAAATTTCAATTCAGAAATATTCATTATGTTAATTCTAGTAGGCTACGGAGTTTTGATTTTAAACGTTTGTTAAGCCAACAACTACCTGACGATTTAGTTATTTTACTAGTGCA